CTGAAGCACACTTTCCATGTTGCTGGATCACTCATGGGATACGCTGGTCACTTCCACGAGGATGTCATCGAGCAGATCCGCCGTCATCCTGATGTGAGTAATCCCATTCCCTCGCGGAAGTTCCCGAGTTCGGCGGCTAATATGACTCAAAACAGGTTGATTACATCGAGAAGGACTCTGAAGTCCGTACCATGACCGAGGGTACTGTTGAGAAGAACGCCCCCTGGGGTCTTGCCCGTATCTCTCACCGTGAGAGCCTCTCCTTCGGCAACTTCAACAAGTACTTGTATGCTGAGGAGGGTGGCGAGGGTGTCGATGCTTACGTTATTGATACTGGCACCAACATCAAGCACGTTGACTTCGAGGGCCGTGCTACCTGGGGCCAGACCATTCCCCAGGGTGATGCCGATGAGGATGGAAACGGTCACGGAACTCACTGCTCTGGTACTATTGCCGGCAAGAAGTTCGGTGTCGCCAAGAAGGCCAACGTCTACGCTGTCAAGGTTCTTCGCTCTAACGGCTCGGGTACTATGTCCGATGTCGTCAAGGGTGTTGAATGGGCGGCCGAGGCTCACATCAAGAAGTCCAAGAAGGGCGATAAGAAGTTCAAGGGCAGTGTTGCCAACATGTCTCTCGGCGGTGGTAGCTCTCGCACCCTGGATCTCGCTGTCAATGCCGCTGTTGACGCTGGTATTCACTTCGCCGTTGCTGCCGGTAACGACAACGCTGATGCCTGCAACTACTCCCCCGCTGCTGCTGAGAAGGCCGTCACTGTTGGCGCCTCCACTCTGGCTGATGAGCGTGCTTACTTCTCCAACTACGGCAAGTGCACTGACATCTTCGCTCCCGGTCTGAACATCCTCTCTACCTGGGTTGGCAGCGAGCATGCCACCAACACCATTTCCGGTACCTCCATGGCCTCCCCTCACATCGCCGGTCTGCTGGCCTACTACGTCTCCCTGGCACCCGCCAAGGACTCTGCCTTTGCCGTCGCCGATGTGACCCCTAAGCAGCTCAAGGCTGCTCTTATCAGCGTCGCCACCGAGGGCACACTCACTGACATTCCCTCCGACACCCCCAACGTAAGTTTCCCACCATATCTAGAAAAGCATGGATTAGGCTAACTCTATATTAGCTTCTGGCCTGGAACGGTGGTGGCTCCGCCAACTACACTCAGATCCTTGCCAAGGGTGGCTACAAGGCCCACCAGGATAAGACCAGTGTTGAGGAGCGCATTGGCAGCATCATCGATAACGCCGAGAAGGCCTTCCACAAGGAGCTTGGCGCTATCTACAGCGAGATCAAGGATGCTGTCTCTGCATAGATTAGAACGTTGTTAGGGTTCTGTCTGCGACAAACCCAACAACTTGGGCATGGATGAATGGATTAACACAGGCGTACAACATATTTTCTTTGGTTTTTATCTCGGTCTTTTGGATTCTCCAACACGAATCCGCGGGTTTATACCGCTATTACGCTCCTATACACAGATTGTTTTTGCTATTTTGCTATTTTGTTGCTTCACGTAGCATACTTGTCTACAACCATAAGTTCGGACTAATATAGAATACGTGTTGATTTATCAAACCAATATTTGTCCGGCATTACACAGTGACACTGTAAGATAGGTTCATTAGACTCTTAGCAAGTATATGCAGGTACCAACATATAGTCACTCTACAGCACATCTTTGATTTGAGCCACGTCGGCCTGTTCCTTCAACGCCCAACACCACTGACTCGCCTTGTCAGTCCGCTCTTCTCCTAGAACCCCAACACACTGCTCAATGAACTTTGCTGTAAGCTGTTCATTGGTCATGGGGCGCTCCAAGCTACCCACGGCATAGTCGACATGCTTCTCGATGGTAGTCCCTCCCCTCACCTTCACAACGAGATGACACTCATCAGCCCGCAAACTCTCATCAGAAACCGCCCTGAACCGATCCCTCAGTGCCACAACCCGCGTATCAAGTACAACATCATCCTCATACTGCGCCGGCGTAGCCTTCCCTAATAACAAACCCACGGCGCCACCATGATAAACACTAAACTTCGCCTCCAGCCCATCCTTCGGCGCCGTCTTCCCCGTCAACTCCAGAACAAGCGGATGCACACTCGCAACAACCTCCTCAACATCCGCCACATCAACCCCAACCCGCCCCAACTCCCCATGCAACCAAACACACCCGTCAATAACAGGATGAACCACAATCCCACAAGGAAACGGCTTAAACGCATTCCTCACAGTCTCCCAGCGCTCCCCACCCCCAAGCGCCGCAACCTCCTCCTCAATCCGATTCCCGCCGGCACAAACAACATTCGCCCACCCCCTCTTCGCCTCCAACGCCTGAACCGAACTCGTAAACCCCTCCCGCGCAAGCAAAGCAGCAAGCAACCCATTCTGCGCCGCTCGTCCGGGATGGAACGACTTCGCATGTGACCCAAACATCTCCCGGAGCCCGGTGACCTGCGTAGCAGCCAGACCAATCGCATGCGCGACCTGCTCCGCCGACAACGCAAGCAACTTCGCCACCGCCACCGCCGCACCAATCGACCCAGTCGTCGACGTGATATGCCACCCGACATCGTAGTGCGCCGGCCAAACGGCCAGGCCAACCTTACACTCGGCTTCGATGCCGGCCACCAGAGCGGTTATGAACTCCAGTCCGGAAACGGGGCGCGGGAGCGTCGGGAGGATGGCGAGAAGGGCGCATGCTACGGGCCCCGTTGGGTGGATGACTGTGTCCAGGTGGGTATCGTCGTAGTCGTGGACGTGCGAGGCGATTCCGTTGAAGAGGGCTGCGTGCATGGCGTCTGTGGAGGTGCTTGTGCCGGGGAGGTGGGAGGTCGGTGGGCCTGCGAAGGGGGATAGGGCTTTGCGGGCTGTAGTTGTTGCAATGTGTTGGCTGCCGCCTACTATGCACCCGGCTATGTTGTAGAAGCTTCGGACTGCGGCGTCGATTACTTCTCCTGGGAGGTCGGGGTAGGATAGAGAGACTGTCCAGGTGGCGAGGTTTTGGGTTGCCATCTTGGGATTGGTTGGGTTCCGTGGGTAAGTAGATATACCTAGATGTGATATTTGGATAAGTTGGATGTCATATATTGGAACCGTAAATGCTTGGGTTTATAGGTGGGGGCAGTGTGGGGAGGCGGAGGAGAGTCCACTTTCGCTGGGCAAAGATGATTTATGGCTTGGCTGAACTGAAGTAAGGACGTAGGTAGGGTGAAAGTATGATAGAGATTTAAAATTGATTTTGATGTTAGAATTTGATTTGATTCGTTAAAATATCTGTGCAACGTTAGAATATTGCATGTTATCATAAACCATAAGACCCATAATGTTCGAAAATGATCCCGCTAAACGCCTATCGTATGAAAGATGACAAGGGCACGCCGAGAATGCTGAAAATGCTCAGAGAAGCAGACCTGAAATGGCTGATCATGCAACAATTCCCCAGACGGAAGACGCAGAAAGTTATCTTCACATCTTCTTTGTCTCCGTGGAATCATCGTCGGCCGACTCATCCTCGTCCTCCTCCATATCACTGCCGCTGGACTGTTCCATGACGAGTTCATCCTCAGAGTCACTGCCACCGAACACGTCGCTGTCGGCATCGCTATCGGCCCAGAAGTCATCGTCTTCCTTCTCCACGGGCTCACGGACGGGAGTATCATGTGTTGGCATCTCGAAGCCGGCGGGAATATCGAGCTTAGACTTCTCGACGTCGGCCTTGACAAGCTGGCGGTAGGCTTCTGGGTCTTTGCGGAGCAAGACGGCAGCGTCGACGTTCGCAGGGGAGGAAGTCTCGGCGTCGTCAAGCAGAGAGATGATGGAGATCAGGACCGACTCGACGCGCTGAGCGGGGGACCAGCGCTCTGAGGCAAGCTCACCGGACATTTCATCTTCGCCGGGTGCGTGGAGGATGGATATGCATAGTTTGCCATTGGTGTAGATGTTCGGGTGGTTGATGGGCTGCAGGAAGCGGAACTCTAATGGTAAGAAGAACCCCGTCAGTTATATTGAAGATAAGAAGGAGGAGAGGAGGTGTCATACTTGGTGGGGCATATGGATAGTTGGAGGGGAATGACATTGCGGCTTTGAAGTAACCGCCGTAGTACATCGAGTCCGGGTTGATCACGATCAGGGCAACATCCCAGTTGAAGATGTCGTCATCGTGCAACTACACAAAGTGTGTCAATAACCTGCAAGTGTGGACATGTCAAAGACGATTGTGAAGTGGTGAACTGACCTGGACGTTAACCCACTTCTCTTTGAGAAGGGTCTTGAATTCGTTCATGAGGATGCGCTCCGCCATGACGAGATAAGCGGGATCTGAAGACGTTGCACCTGGAGAGATTCCGCTCGTAATTGTGTGGGAGCAATCTACCTTATATAGCTATACGACGCCAAGGCAGCACCATGTGCCTTATGCAAAAGGAGCAAATTGAAGTTAAAGCGGGATGAATTATAAAACCGTAGGCAATGCCGGGATCACGGGGAGGGGCGAGGCCGATGCCGATTAGATCAACGGATGCCTGAAATTTCAGTGGCAACCTGACTAAGAGGGGCGATGCCCGCCACCTCAGGTCTACGGAGTATACAATGTGGTAATTCCTATATCGATTCTTAAGTCGAACTCTTAATGCTTGAATTCTTAATTCTCATACCTGAATTAGCCATGATTAACTGTCTTTGGTCGGATGTTCTATAGTTATTCTTGTCCACATCCTTAAGCAGTAATCTCTAAAAATAGACTTAAGAGATGAATATCAAAGTACTCCGTAGTTTAAAAAGGTGTGTAGATAGTATAGAAGTGGGTTTAGAGGGGTGTATAGTAATACTCATCTCTTTTTTAACTACAACATAATCCGTGTATACTCCGTAGCAGTGATGTGATTGCCCTTGCAGGTGACCTTCCCGGGGTTGCAAAGTTCGCAACATTGTTATCTTACCTTAACCCTCGATACACCCTCGCCTGATCCCTGCAAGGACATATCAAGATGTCGCATAACAGATTCATTCAATCGTTTACTCAGTTTCCCAAGGATATATTCCGCGTGAACTCAGGCACCTCCATCCGGCTCCGGGCTTGGCCAGGTCCACGACGACCACACGGCGTATTCGACCTTCTTACAACTGCAGGAAAAGTACAACCGAAGGCTCTCAACCCAGCCACTTATGAATGTAATTCATAGTAGTCAAAACGATCAGCTCACGTCACTAATCCATCTCAGTCCCTAATGGGGCTTCCATGCGCCCCAACTCTAGGACACAACAGAACCTCGTTCGCACTGTCAAACCCTGGGGTGGTCTCACTATTTACATATATGCTATTATGGCTGGTCTGTTTCTCTGAGTCATTTGAAGACTTTCCCCCTACGCAGTATTGACTGGAGCTATACAGGAACTCATCTCCCTGACGATCTCATTCTTGTCCACGAATTTCGCGACCATTACTCACTACAAGCCCGGAAGGAGATGACAGTCGAAGGTACTAATAATATGGTCCACTAATACAAATAAAAGTACTGACTTACAATGACATAAAGAATTGCAAGCGAAAATTGAAGCTCTTTTGGCAACGCACGGGCAGCGATTCACCAGGGAGGAATGGTTGCAGCGATACCCTAAGGCAACCGAGTGACTTCTCTGGACAGGCCTTTTCCTATCAGATATCCCTGATCATGTATAGTAAAATACTGTATGATTTATGCTTTTTACCGCCTTTCTATGCATATAACAAGACCTTCAAAGAGACATACCTCTAGAGGTAGGTAGTGATGTGATTGATTCGTCATCGAGCTCCCCTACTGTTCTACCAACGGTTCTGCTTCTCAGTTCAAGATAAAACCTGCTGACATATTTAGTTTCGAATGGTTCATTATTCATGCCAAATACGCACTTAATGCAAAAGATCACACGGCTGTTGAATGAGTCAGAATGACTACTACCTGGAGGGTGTAGACAGTGGCAAAGCCGCCGAAGCTCATTATTTGTGTATACCTAAAGGTGAGCAACGCCCTTGTCAAAAGAAGAATAGCTGGCATGTAGCAAAGCCTCAATAAAACTCCGTTATCTCGATTCTGGTCGCGTTTTCAATCCAGACGCTTGGCTTAAGATGAACCCCTACCATGAGGCGTTTATGAGGATGAGGAAGAGTGGATAAACCACTGATATATACTGAATTATATGTATTTTGATTGAATACTTGGCCATATCCTATACATATTGTAGTGAGTTCGTTGTAACTCCATATAAAATCGATACCTTTTATAGTGGAGCACGATAAGCTGATTGAGACAGGTCATATGAATACTTTGAGACATTGCAGGAATTATTGCCCCTCGGGCTCCCGAAGGAGTTAAGTCAATAATGGCATTGTGATAAAAACTCCTCCGTATGCAGAAAATACTGTTAATTGGGTATAAGGTACCTCACTCCACCACCAAACCTTGGTGGTGGCTAATGTCACCCTTTACCGGAGTCCGTTCACCGTCCACCGCCGGTTTTGGAACATTTGGCATTTTCACTCTCTGATTCTTCCCCCGCCCCTAGATCCATATCTCAACACCCTCGTGAACATCTTTGGTGATTCTTGCTCGGCAGGATCTGAGTAGCCTTTCCCGCCTACTCTTTTGCCTCAACGGCACTCGGTCCCGGAACCCTCATCCCAGCGTCACTGTTCACCTCGACTTTGCAATGCTAGGCTTGTCCAGCATTTCAGTTAAATCTTGTTGCTAAAGGGGTGGTTCACAATAACCGAATACCGGTCGCCTTTACCCATTCATCACTGTCGCCAGCTGAAAAGCTGTGTGATCGAGTCGCGCGAGGTCCGAGAGCTTCAGTTTCTGCGAGCTTCCCGGTCAACATGTTACCGCAATGTCAAGGCCCCGTCTGGGCCATTGACGACCTGTCTCGTTGCTTCCAGCGCAAGTGTGTCTACACCGATGGCAATTCCGATCGTTGAAATTTTATGCTGATCATGAGATATCTTAATAGCGTTCTTCAGGTCATACTTCCCCTCACAGTCTGCGGCACTTCGCTGCTGGTGATCCTAATCCGCCTCGCTCATCGATATGTCCTCACTCAAAAAGGTGTCGCTTACAAAGTTCTCCCGAACAATGACTCGGAAGATGAGGTCCCCAGTGCATCGCAGGAAAACGAGTCCGATACGATGTTGTTCCAAGCTGTACAACAAGAACAAGCTCAGATTGTCGAGGTCAATCGCCCGCGTGGAGAGATTACCGTTGTACTACTCGAGATCGCAGCTTTAATTGCTCAAGTTGGGGTCTATATCGCCGTTTTGTCGACTCACGGCTGGGGCCGACATGGAACCCTCCCCGCCGTAGCTGGGCTTGTGTCGTGGGCCTACATCCTTTTCTTGGTGCTGGTCCGGTTCCTCCTATCGACCATGGACCTTTCCTCTGCGCCGAGAATCTGGACCCATACGGCGATTCTGTACAGCTTCCAGTGGTTGTTCAACATCATGGTCTTCCGATCCGCCATTATCCACCCCGTGTCCCAGCAAGCCCTGATTTTCAGCAGCATTCAGTTCGCTCTGAGTACGGTGTTGCTGCTCATTGCGCTCACCACTCGCCGAGGCAATAAGCCAGTTCTTGTTGAACGCGAAGATGGATTGGAGCCTCCGACATACCCCATGGCCAGTTTGTTATCTCTTGCGACATTTGCCTGGCTCGATCCTTTGGTCATGAAGGGTTATCGCCAACCCCTGGAGATTGAGGATGTTTGGAACCTGACCCCGTCTCAGAAGGCTGCGCACGTGCTTACAGAATTCCGCAAGAGACAAATGAAAGGCTCTTTGGCATGGAAGCTAATTCGGTACTTCATGGGGACAATTCTAAAGCAGGGTGCCTGGACAGTCTTCGCCAATCTATTCGTTTTCATGCCTAGTCTACTCCTCAAGGCCATCCTCGAGTACGTCGAGGATCCTCGGTCGACCACGCCCAGTGCGGCTTGGTTGTTCGCCATTCTGCTCTTCTGTTGCGCCGCGGTTCAGGGTGTCGCAGATGGACAGGCCTTATTCATTGGTCGTAAGATGGGTGTGAAAATCCGTGCGATCATTATTGGTGAAATTTATGCAAAGGCTCTTCGCCGCAAGGCAGGCGCTTCACTGGAGGTCAAGAAACCCGTAGAAGATCCAATCAAGGGTAAGAAGAAAAAGCTCTTTTCCTTTGGTCGCAAGAAGAAGGCCGCCAATGGAAATGATGCCGAGGCTGGCAACAAGCCAGAGACAATTGCGGAGGGACCTACACAGGCCAATGTTGGCACAATCATCAACTTGATGGCGATCGATTCATTCAAGGTAAGCGAGGTCGGCGCCTATCTCCACTTCTTGTGGGCTAGTGTGCCAGTGCAGATTACAATGGCGATTATTCTGCTTTACCACATCATGGGTTTCAGTTCGTTTGCCGGTATCGCTTTGATGGCGCTCATGCTGCCTATCAACCTTGTCATCGCCCGCCAGTTCAACAAGGTCCAGAACCAGATTTTGAAGGGCACCGATGCCCGTATTCACGCCACTAACGAAGTCCTCCAAAACATCCGCATCATCAAGTACTTTGCTTGGGAGCAGCGGTTCCAAGACATTGTCGGCGAGAAGCGCAAGACCGAACTGAAAGCCCTGCGCAAGCGATACATCCTCTGGTCCTCCGCCGCAACCGTCTGGTACGGCACGCCTATTCTCATCACGTTCATGTCCTTCTTCTTGTATACTGTTGTCGAGAAAAAACAACTGACCCCTTCGATCGCTTTCCCCGCCTTGTCCATGTTCTCTTTGCTGCGTGTGCCCTTGGACCAGCTCGCGGATATGGTGGCACACGTTCAGGAATGTAAGGTTTCTCTAGATCGTGTGGACAAGTACCTGAACGAGGAGGAAACAAGCAAATACGATCAGCTCCGTGATAGTACTGTCGCAGGAACACCTGCCAGGATTGGTCTTGAAAAGGCAACGCTATCTTGGAACAGCTCCAGTGGGGATTCCCAAGATACCGAGGCTGATGCCGACTTGGAGGCTTTCCGTCTGATCAATGTCGATGTTGAATTCCTTGTCGGCAAGCTTAACATCATTGTTGGCCCCACTGGATCTGGAAAGACCTCCCTGCTCATGGCTTTGCTTGGAGAAATGAAACTTCTCGAGGGTCGGGTTCATCTTCCCGGTGGAATGCCCAACAGGGCAGACCTCCCCGTGGACCCTGAAACTGGTCTGGTTGACAGCATTGCCTACTGTGCCCAGGAAGCCTGGTTGGTCAACGACACTGTAAAGGAAAACATCATCTTCGCCTCTCCCTATGATGAGCGTCGCTACCGTGCGGTGCTGAAGGCCTGCGCCCTGGAACGTGACCTCGCTATCCTTGATGCTGGTGATCAAACTCTTGTTGGCGAGAAGGGCATTAGTTTGTCTGGTGGCCAGAAGCAGCGAATCTCTCTCGCCCGTGCTATCTACAGCAGTGGCCGCCACTTGCTGCTAGATGACTGTCTCTCTGCTGTCGACTCCCATACCGCCAAGCACATCTTCCGCCAAGCTCTTACCGGCCCTCTGATGTTCAACCGCACATGTATTTTAGTAACACATAACGTTGCTTTGACTGTTCCCCAATCGGATCACGTTGTGGTACTTGAGCACGGCAGAATTTCCGCCCAGGGCCGTCCCAACGATGTCGCCGCTACTGGTGCATTAGGTGATGAGTTCCTCAAGTCTCGACCAAATTCCCGGCCCAGCTCTCGTGGACTCTCCCGTGCCCCATCGAACCATGAATCGGATGATGAAGATTTGAATGGCACTCCGAATGGAAAGGTAGAAGACAAGGCCAAGCTCACTGAATCCAAGGCTACTGGTAGTGTCAAGTGGTCGACTGTCACCATGTACCTCCGCGCCATGGGCCCGTGGTACTATTGGGTCGGTGCTGTTGTTGTATTCGTCTTGCAGCAATTGGGTTCTGTTTCGACCAACATCTGGATCAGACAGTGGGCAAATTCTTACCATACCTCCAAGGCTGGGGCCGAGGACGTCGGGAAGTACGCCGCCGCGGCCCATCTCAAGCCCCCTACCTTCAGCATTGGAAGTGTTGGGCGCATGAGCAGCTGGGGTCTGCCCCAATTTGGCACAAGCTCTTCCGGCGAGACTGATGGGGAGGTGAACGTGGCTTATTACCTGGGTGTCTATGCGCTCCTGGGATTCCTCTATATCGCAATCTCTTTGTCTCGGGAAGCTGTTCTGTTCTGGGGTTCGCTCCATGCATCATGGAAGATTCATGATCGCCTTCTCAGGGCAGTTATGCACGCAAAGTTCCGATTCTTTGACTCCACGCCTCTTGGACAACTGATGAACCGGTTCTCCAAGGATGTTGAGTCCGTCGATCAGGAAGTCGCTCCTGTTGCTATCGGCATGCTCCACAGTCTGGCATCTGTGATTATGATTGTCATTCTGATTTCGTGGATCACGCCAGGATTCTTGATTGCCGGTGTGTTCATCACCCTGGTGTACACTGCCCTCGGTGCTGTTTATTTGAACTCTTCGCGAGACCTCAAGCGTCTGGAATCTGTCCAGCGCAGTCCCCTGTACCAGCAGTTCGGTGAGACCCTAAACGGTATCGTCACCATTCGTGCTTATGGTGATGGTCCTCGCTTCATGGTCGACAACCACCGCCGCATCAATGCCTACAACCGGCCACACATCTACCTCTGGGCTAGCAACCGCTGGCTCGCCCTCCGTGTTGACTGGACCGGTGCTCTGGTCTCGTTCTTCTCGGCTACCTTTGTGTTGTTGAACGTTGGAACGATCGATGCAGGTGCTGCTGGTCTTTCACTGACCTACGCCGTCACATTCACAGAGAATGTGCTTTGGCTTGTGCGTCTGTACTCTGAGGTCCAGCAAAACATGAACTCTGTCGAGCGTGTCAGAGAATACCTTAATGTGGACCAGGAAGCAGCTTCTGTCATCGAAGACTCACGACCTGCGTCTGATTGGCCCAGCCAAGGTGCGGTCGAGTTCATTAACTACACTACCCGGTACCGACCCGATTTAGACCCGGTTCTCAAGGACGTTTCATTCTCTGTAAAGGCCGCCGAAAAGGTCGGCATTGTCGGTCGCACCGGTGCGGGCAAAAGTTCTCTCGCGCTGGCTCTATTCCGCGGTCTCGAGGCCGAGAAGGGTCAGATCATCATTGACGGCGTTGACATCGGGTCAATCGGACTGCGGGATCTGCGCCAGTCAATCACCATTGTCCCTCAGGATCCGACCCTGTTCACAGGCACCCTCCGCAGCAACCTCGATCCCTTCGGTCTCTTCTGTGACGAACAGATTTTCACAGCTCTCCGTCGCGTGCACCTTATCGGTTCCAGCACCTCAGGCACCGCAACCCCCACAACTTCAAGCAGTCGCACCGCGACGGAAATCAACGGCAGCGGCGTGAACAGCAGCGCAGTGACTGTAGTCGATAATAAGAACGTCTTCCACAACCTGGACAGCCAAGTCTCGGAGTCCGGCTCCAACCTCTCCCAAGGCCAGCGCCAGCTCCTCTGCCTCGCCCGCGCTCTGCTGAAGAACCCCCGCGTCTTGATGATGGACGAAGCTACCGCATCCATCGACTACGCCACCGATGCTAAAATCCAAGAGACCCTCCGCGAACTGAGCAACAGCACAATCATCACAATCGCACACCGTCTGCAGACCATCATCGACTACGACAAAGTCCTTGTTCTCGACCACGGCCGCGTCGTCGAGTACGACCACCCCTGGACCCTCATCAACAAGGAAGACGGCGTCTTCCGCGGCATGTGCGAAAACAGCGGCAACATGGATGTTCTTCTAGATGGGGCCCAACGCGCTTGGACGCAGAAGCGTCTTGTCGGTGATTGTTAAAGCACCGGCTCCCTTCTTCTTTCCTTTCCCTATCTATAGAATCTCTCGCGTACATATTCATTGTTACCCCCTACTTCATCTACTACCTGTTATTGGTCTTCCCTTCCCCCGCTCATTCCTCGGGGCGGGGATGCAAAAAAGAGAGCGAGAGAGACACAAATGTAATCATCATTTCCTGGCCGGGAGGCTTTATCATCATTATCATCTGTTCCAATGTTATCATGGTTCTGCTCTGGCTTCTTACTCTCGCACCGGTGTGGCGTCTTCGGTTGCTTTTTTGTCTTTTTTGTCTTCTTTTCTGCTTCGCGCATGTACCTGCTATCACATCATTTCCGAGTTCTTCTTGTAACCTTACGTCTATTCTTGGTGGCACATGTCGGAATCTATGTTTCTGGTAGAGAATGAAAATGCTTGCAATATTACCATTAGCTCGACTACTATGGGCCATGTGCTAGGGAGGTTCGTGGTGTTTCCTTTTAGTGTAGTAATCACCGAAGTATTTGTATTCAGAACAAATAACTAGTCCTTTGGCATGTAGGGATGAAAATCCCACCCTCAATCTGAACATGCCTGCCCATCTTCAACGCCCAAGCTGCTGCTTCTTCGCCGGCAAGTTCCAGACACGAAGCGCCCATCATATTATCCACCCGCAGAAATACCATCTTCGATATCTCCTCGACTGACATTCGCATTGCTCGTCGAGTGCTTGTCGCGAGTTGGGACGGGAAGGGTGGTCGGATCACGAACATTCGAACGATCCGTCACGGAGAATCGACCGAGTCATTCAGGATATACACCGTAGCTCTGATTCCAGCGCTAGTATTCCCCATCAGTCTCGGTGTTTTCCAGATCGCATATCGGGGATAGGGTCGATTCGATTCAATGGAACGGGGCCTGGAGTCCCACCGTAATCAAACAAGCCTCCGACCGAGTGGAGAAAGGATAGAGCTCCCAAGGCTAGATGGCTAACCGCATAGCCTTTGTAAAATCAATCCCTCGCTTCTCTTCGTAGAGAAGCGAATAAAAAAAAAGAAAGTCTTTCAACATGAAAATTAATCCAACAGTCACATGTCGCATTCTTCACTTCTTCGCGCGGATCCCCCGCAGTATCGTACAGAAACACACGAAGGCAGCCGCGACAACGAAGAACCCAAACGGCGGCCAGTAGATCGGGTAGTTGTATGATCCTAATGCGACCACGAAAGACTCCTTCACACGGGACTCGGACTTGGATTGTCTCGGCTTTGGGTAGCTATTCGGTTGTGGTTTTGCCGTTGCATCCGTGCCGATCGCTGCATGCGGATTCGGATGTGATTTATGAAGCTCCGTCTCCGTTTTATGCTCCTTTGATTGCGGGTCTGGAGACGGGTTTGACGAGAGCACGAAGCCTGCTTCGCGCATGGCTGTCTCCTTCAACATGACTATGAGCTCATCTTGATCGGGGATGGTTTCTGGGAAGTAGTGTCGATTGTTTTGTGTAATGCCAGACAGAACGGATTTGAATGCGATTGAGTTTTCGTAGGGAGTAGGAAGCGCGAGGATTTGGATTGCGTGCATTAATATGACCAGCAGGGCCAGTTTGCGGGCCATCTTCTGATGTGCCCGGTGATAACGTAGACGCGCGGTGGGGATTTGATAAGATCGACGCGCTTTTTCGTCTGGACAAGAGGGATATGAGGTATACAGAAGAAGAAGAAGAAGAAGAGTAAGTGAGAAGGAAATGGGAACTAAGAGATAACAAGAACAAAGAGGAGCACGTGGATTCACACTCGGAAACGGAAACGGAGGTCCTCGCACGCTTTATGGTACTTTTTAGTCCGCTTTAGTCTGCTTTAGCATCATTCTAGGCCCTTATCTTTCTCTTTTTAAGGGTCTATCCGTCCAGCCGTATATAGCGCTGTAATGCTGGCCAATAGATCATGGTCTAACGCACCCGTGGAACTTCCCCTCGTTGATAACTCTGCAAATTTTGCCGACCCGACAGCGGAGGTCATGAACTTCCTCATTATTCCTCCAATGACCTACGATAGACGGAGCACGGATTTACATTCTTGTCAAGGCTAAGCGCTAGTGGCGCAATAGTACAAGCTTCCCACCTGCGCCAAGACATGGAATACGCCAAGCCAAGATCCCGTTGTGCACGGCAGCTAACCACTGGCAATACCCTGCAGATAGGCTGCACACACGCTGATTATCGATTATCAGGTCTCAAAGCATGATGCCGTACGCAATCAGTTTATGGTTTCACCGCCGACACGATTCATCTACAGGTGCTTATCTCTAGGCTGAAGGATAGGGGGCGGTTACCAAGCTCATACTAAGATATCTAGCCTTCGGGTGGTCTTTCGACTTAGGCATAACCATTTCTAGTCCAAGCTACGTGAACCGCCGATATATGAGAACTTGCGCGATTTCGCATCCTGGTAATGACCATATTCCCGATCGGAAGAACATGACGGTGCAGATAAAATGCAGCAACAGCATTGGACGTCATCGACACGCTGATTATACTCGACGCCGCGACAATCATATAGATCGCCGTAGACATACACCTATGATATTTGTATCAATCGGCCTATCAATAACCTGCCTTGTTCGCGATAGAGTATGATTGGGTGGTTGCGCAGCACTTGATTTGGGGTATATATAATTGGGGTACATAGGATACAGTTATCTACGTTGGGGTAGACATTTCTGATAATAGGGACGTGGAGATCCATCCATAGATCTAGTTATCTTAGCGCTGATAGCTCCGTATATTGATTTGGGGTAATGTCATTTGATGGTTGACCACAAAGGACCTCGGGATATATACTATTGACGAGCAGATACTACTCCCATTGATAGATTTTGAAGTCTAACTAAGAAGTTGTGATAATATACTGTTAATACCTCAGATTGGATCTGTTCACTTCTCTAACATCGCACCAGCCTTAGCGGGCATCAAGGCCCCAGGCGGAGGAGCGTTCTTATTCTTGAAGTCGTCGCAAACCTGTTCCATCGTCACGAATTCAACACCCTCGTGCTTTTTGAAATGCTCAATAAGCCTATCAAACGTCAGTCCTACTCTGCACAAATTAATGATCACATCACACCTTTCATGCATCAGCAGCACATGAGGTCTTCCCGACACATCCGGGTGGATAGTAATCGGGAAGATAAACTCATCGTACTCGCGGTAGAAGTAGTCAAAATGGTCGCGCCAGATATCCTCAATGTCCCGCGGGTTGACATAACCATGGCTGTTGGGCGCGTCCTTGATGAACATCATCGGCGGTAGATCGTCAATATACCAATTAGACGGGATCTCAACAAGCCCTGTTTCGGATCCATGCTCAAGAGGCTTCATCCACGTCTCAGCTTTCTGCTTGTAATCGATCTTAGTCCAGGTGTCGCCGGTTCGGAGGTAGTAAGCCTGGCAGTCCTCGTGACTCATGCTGTGGTCGTACTCGATGCCGTAGTCGAGGAGGAGCTGGGCTCCTTCTTTGCTAGTTTCCCACCTATTGGATTTGATTAGCACCATTGCTGAATCTAAATTCAAAACTGTCGTACCAGGGTGCCACGCTTCCTCGAGGAGGCTTTCCAGCGAACTCGGTCAACATCCGATATGTTTTGTCTAGCACGTCACGCTGCTGCTCTAGAGACATGTCTGTCGGGTTCTCGTGGGAATATCCGTGCAGGCCGATCTCGTGGCCCGCGTCCCGGACTGCGGCCATGTCCTTTGGGAAGGTTTCGAGGGAGTGGCCGGGAATGAACCATGTTGACTTGATATCGTATTTCTTGAACAGTTTCAACAATCGCTGGGTTCCAACTGTCCCTGCCCAGTATCCTAATTGATTGTTAGAGAGCAGAATATAGAAATGAACATTGAAACCTACCCCGGCTGATGTCGTTTGTTGAATCCTCTCCACCATACGAGCCCAGCCAACCGGCTACAGCATCAACATCTACACCGTAGGTAATGAGAACTCGCTTTGGTGCCATTATTGAATGATTATTCAAAGTTGGAAGGGAAATTGCTAGGGGAGGTTGACTTTTAAACCGGACCAAAAAGGCGGGGAAGATAAGCCCCTCATCCCGGCATATCTCCAACTGACAGACCATTCCACTGCTGACTTGCTCATTTACGAGATAGATGAGTTCCGTTTCTCGATTTATAACATTCCAAGGTTCCGTCATCTCTGCCCTTGTGAACTCCACAATGCCGAGATGAGCAATTAGAATTCTGGTGGGATTATATTTTGAGAAAGCAGATTTGACAGCTTAGTGATTTTACTTTTAGCTCCAAATTCTATATTTCTATATGAACGTCTTTTCCTAATTCGATTGATCGCACTGGGATATGCTTAGGAATCTGGATGTTATTGTGGATTCCTATTGAGCTTCCTCGAGCAGATTAGTGGATTTAGGGCAGATATTAAATCCAACGTGAAATGCATACAATACAAAGTAGACATGTACTGGTTTGTTAAGGTACTTTATAGTAGAACATTTGAAGAATGACAGTATGTACGGAGTAAGTAGGATGATGAAGTAACGAGCCACTATGTGATGTGACCACCTACCACAACCCCAGGAAACGGATTCAGGAGTTATTAGACCATTCCAATAGGATAAAACAGCTATAAACATCTGAATATGACATTCACAACTCCATGCCTCTATACTTCTCCCGAGCATCTCCAAATCTTCCCTTATCGCTTATCGCGGGCCGAACGTCCCGGCGGGCCCCGAGTTGGAGGAGTTGGGGTCGAACCTCCCATCTCGACATCCACTTGCTCAACCAGGGCCTTTTCTTCTCCAAACCAGTTCTCCATACCCCCCTTCAATGTCCCCATCACCCCAGCCGCACAGGGGTGCCCGTGGAGCAAGGGCACGTATATGTATACACTGCGGTCGGAGTTTCCGACGGACTGAACATTTGGAGCGACACATTCGCACCCGTAAGCAAATCCCGGGGAAATCCCCACAGCTAAGTGCTAACCCGGTAAAATAGACACCAAGGAGAAGCCGTTTATTTGCTTCTGTGGGGCGGCCTTTACTAGAAGGGATCTGTTAAAGCGTCATACGCGCATCTCACATCAAGATGGGCTGACTTCGCCGACGCCGCCCGAGCCAACCAAGGCGGATTTCCAGCCAACGCATCACCCTGCAGCTATCCCGCCGCAATATGATACAGCAACTAGGCCCGTACCCGTCGAATCCCTTGCAGGGTCATCGGCTGTGCACCAATGGGCTGGGGCACAGAATACGCCTTATTTAGACCCGCATCAGACCGGCATGCTTCCCGCTGCTACTGCAGGAGTCCCGAACCCAGCCATTGATCCCCATACGGGTATGGTGCATGATCCGGATATGCTTCAAGCTGCCCAGCTGCTTCTTCCGGGCGATTACCGACCTACAGGTATGTCGATTTTTATAGTTGTTCAAGTCTATCCCTCCTAATGTCCCGTGCAATATGCAATATCCCGGTTCCTCTCCGGATGGTCTTTCGCTTGACTCCCATTATAGGAAATCTATTAATCTGACACAAAATAGGACAACCGATGCCCTACTTGCCCGAAGATCTGAATCATTTCCAGGAATTCACACATTTCTTGGATTCGATTGGCTTGCCCGGGGAATGGGTTCCCAGCGAAGGTGAAACCTCTCAAACACAAGAGGTCAATCTAGAAGACGTAAGAGAAACGGGTCGACAGACCCAAGAGCATGAGCGGCCACGACGAAGTGGAGATGGTTCTCGAGGAGACTCCCCATTCAGATCCTGGCTTCCATCTGTGCCCAGGGGCGACCAAAGCCTTGGGACCCTGTCTGATTCTGGTATATAACACCTTGTATTGCTATGATTCTGTAGATCACTGACACCATTCCAGAACCTCCTCCAAACGCGAAGAGGCCGCCGTCACGATTCAATGTCACCGAAGAGCAGCGGTTTCGACTTGCGGCATCTCTCGAAGAATTTCGCCATGTGATTCCGGACTTCGCACTGCCGTCTCGTCACACATTGACTCGGTATCTTACTTCCTATTTTGAAGGATTCCACCCACATCTTCCGTTTATCCATATCCCGACTTTTTATATCAATGAACGTGCCCCTGAGGTGGTTCTTGCTATCATGACGATCGGAGCCCAGTATAGATTTGAGCACCGCAACGCAGAAAGATTATTCCACGTTTCCAAGGCAGTTCTGTTCGAACGGATGTCCAGAGAGCCCCATTTCCCAGCTAAGCCAGGCTACAATTCAGGCCCTCGAGTACCGCTGGGGATATCTCCTTATTCCACCTTTGGCGATCAATCCCTCACGCAACCACAGGTAACAGCGGAAAGTACTGCTGGTTGGAAGCAAATCGAAATCACTCGCTGTCTCCTTATTCTGATGGGCTACTCCACGTGGGAAAACGCCAGGCTGGTACAGGAAGCATTCCACCTTCAGGGCTTGCTGGTTCGACATCTTCGTGAGGCTGGCTTGACAGAAGACACAACACGCTCTGACTCACGCGCACCCCTCGACTGGTACGAGTGGGCGGACCAAGAATCGGCGCGACGCACAAAATTGATTGCGTTCTGCTTTATCCATGTTCACAGTGTCGCATACAATGCTTATCCATCTTTGCGCAGCAATGAGATACACCTGCGTCTTCCGTGTTCTACCATTGAATGGACTGCTAGCACCGCTGCGGAATGGGAAGCAGCCCAGCAAGAACGCGGTCCCCAGCAGTTGTTCTTTCAAGACGCATTGACCCTCCTCTTGCAAAAGTCCCGATCGGCCAAACCACTAGACCCCATCCCGGCTCCATTGGGTAACTATATCCTCTTACACGGACTCCTGCAACGAATCCATCTCGTGAGCGAGCTATCATTACCCAACGGAAACCACTCCACAACCCTCCCAACAGAGGAACTGAATAAACTAGAGTAAGTTCCCTACCCATCAATCTTCCTAGATTCACTTCTAACGATTCAAACCATAGACGAGCTCTCCGTTCCTGGACCTCCGTATGGCAACAAGCCCCAGAATCCAGTCTAGACCCACACAACGAAAACGGTCCAATCCCATTCACCTCCAGTGCATTCCTAGGACTCGCTTACGTCCGCCTATCTCTAAATCTCGGACCTCATCGCCGCCTTGAGACCCGCGACCCGATAATAATAGCCACTGCACTCTGTCACTCTCCACGCCCAGAACGCAGCTACCGTCTCATCCCGGCACTTATATACGCCGCTCATGCTCTCAGCATCCCCGTGCGTCTGGGCATAGACCACATTGCTCGTAGTCAAGCCTTCTTCTGGAGCGTGCGGCACTCGCTAGCTAGTATAGAATGTGCAGTGTTGCTAAGCAAATGGCTGTTTACCCTTGCCGAGGCGGGACCGGATCAGTCGTTGAGTGGTATGTCCATGTCCTGCTGCATGATTTATCAACTAACAATGTTGCAGAAAACGAAAGTCGCATTCTACGCTGGACCCGCTGTATTATCGAAGAGGCGTATTCGTCTATTGATACGGATGACTTCGAGGCGCCGCCAGATCTGGAACCAGCTTCTTTGGGATTGGCCGTTCTTAAGCTGTGGGCTAGGTTGTTTGGAACGAATACTCAGTGGCCGTTCATTAATGTTCTTGGACAAAGCTTGGAAGAGTATATAAGTATGATTTGATGTTGACATTACATATTTATGGGTTTGGCGTTTGTATATATTGGAGTCTTTTGGAAAATAATGTATTCATGAACTCATGAGGTGGGCGACTTTGATCGTCGCCTTTTTTGTGTTTTTTTGTGCTTTTCTATTTTTCTGCTATCCCGAATCGTCATTTCCTCTGTTTCCATCATCCTCTTCCCATTATCCTCCTGATTCCCCAGTTCATTCACTGAGCTACCCTCATTGGTAAGCCCAGCAAAAGCAAAAACCATAGCAAAGTGACATCTGCCGCCGATCTAGGAAAGCTCGATCAGATCTCCCTCAAATGGAGACGCCGCGACTTCCTCGACCCTAGAAGTAAGCGAAACTTCGGCTAACATAGAAGGAAGCCGCATAGAAGGAAGCTGCATTATCGGTTGACTCACACCTCCAGCTTGGTAGCCATCATCATCCTCTTCGAAGTTTATCAAGTCTTTGTCGAGAGTAGGAGGCGTGTCTTGTACTTCACTCATAGCTTCGACCTGATCATCGCTATCACGTGCGAAGATGCCCCTCTCGGCCAGGGCGTCTTCCCCTGCACCCGGAACTTCAACCTGATCATCATCGTCGTCATCGTCATCATCGTCGAAGTCGATAAGAGTGCCTTGAACCGGAGCAACCACGTTCTGTTCAACTGGAATAGCATCTTTCTGAGGACGTTTCCCGCTAGCGTCGAGCCCAGCCCGACGATAATCATCCAACACGCCACCACCACGCGCAAACGCCTGCCATTGGCGCACACCCTCGGCGCAACGAGCTGCATCTTCTGCGGTGGAGGTAGAGGCAGAGGCAGAAGCGCGGGTTGGGGCTCGGGTCCGGGGGATGGGGCCGACCTTTCCGTCGCGATCATCTTCTTCGGCATCGACATCATCCCAGTCGGATCCGCCGTCGAAGATCTGGGTTTTGTTGTCCTTGCCCATACCGCAGAAGCAATCGTGAGTGTGTGGGGGAGAGCACACACAAATGCAGAACGTGTTACAGCAGTCGCGGATTTCACGGCAGCGCTGTTTGCAGGAGACCCAGTCGTGTTCGGAACTAATGAATCAAGATGTCAGTATTGGGTGCATGGAAACTGTCATTATTTGCGAAACTTACCCGTGGCATTTGCGGGGACATGGATGTCCGCATGGTAAATTCGTGCCACAAGGCTTGTCGCAGCCGTCGCCGATGGTGTTCCAGTCCTTGAGAGCTAGAAAAACAGTTAGATAATCTCTTCCATTGATATTACTAGTATTACTAGGCACAGCAGGACTCACTTTCGATAAGGGTTTCTTGGTTGTGTCGTGTGCAGTACAGAGGCAGAGCCGGGCCGATACGGGGGTCTTCTTGGTTCTCCGACATCACATTGGTAACTGCATACCAAAACTCACTGTGTTTGCTAACACATCGTGCATTGCCAAATATGTAAAGACCGTATTTGGCGCGCGACAAGGCGACACACACTCTGTTGTCCTGTGCGAGAAAGCCGATACCTCGATGATCATTGGATCGAACAAGCGAGAGGATGATGATATCGTTCTCTTCTCCTTGGTATGAGTCGACGGTCACTATGTTGACGTATGGTTTGGCGACGTTGGGATTCTGTGCCTTCTTTCGCATGATCAATTTCCGTTGGCCATTGTAGAAAGTCAGGACAGTGATACTGGATGCCGGGACTTTGTTCATCACCAGGTAGGCAAGAAGATTGACCACCATTGATGCCTCAAAGTCATTTACCTTGGATAGCAGACTGTCGTTGCTTTCATGCGCGGTGTGGTCGAAAAAGAATGATCGCTTGTCTCCCATGCCAGGAACAAAAGGGTGATCTCCAACAGACGGATGGTCATGAAGAAGATTCCCATAGATGGGGGCCACGAGCGCTCTGATTTCTGGCACCATTCGTCTCTGCTCTTGAAGCATGGCGTATGGCATTTTGTTTATCATCAGACGCTCAAACATAGAGATATCGAGGTAGAAAGGGTGCCCGCACAGTTCATAGTCCGCACATTGACCCTTCAGCTGCTGGTGATCACCAACAAGGATAAGATGCTGAAGTGACGGAAGACAAGCGACTGCAACTGGGGCCTCAAGTACTTCTGCTGCCTCTTCGATCAAGATGACTCGGGGCTTCAAACTCGAGACCAGTCCTCTGTATTTGCTCAGACCAGTGGTGGTCATTCCAATGATCTTCGCCTCCTGGAGAATACAGTAGTCCCGTTCAAACCTACCAATTTGAAAATTGGAGGCGCTTTTTTTGTAGTTTTGAGCGAGGCGCTGCACATTTTCTCCCAGGATAGCCATCAGCTGCTCACGTAGGTAGCCATAGACAGCACCGCGATACCTCTTGTGGATTTTATAAAAGTCCTTCTCTTTTAGCAGATTTTCAACTGTTGCCCGAGAGACTTTGGCGGTGTTGGAGCTGCAAAGACCACCCGACAAGGGGAAATAGCGTGTTTTGAAAGACGACCAGTCATCCTCATATCTTCCGTGTTCGACTTCGATCTCTTTGAGTTGCTCATACTCCAGGTCAATATCATCATCGATGAACCCAAAGTCACCGGCGTATTCGGAGTCAAACTCCCTCACGCAGTCTGAAAGCCAAGCCGCCAAAGGATCGGCATTTGCAGGAGTGTTGGATCGCTGCCATTTGTGTGCAGCTTCCTTCAAGGAATCAACTTGCTCTTGGCTCAAAAGACCATGCTCCAGAAATAGAGATACTGCAAGGGGCTTATTGCTATTTGATGGCGCAAGTGGCTTTAGGACCTTCTCAAGCTCAGCCGCGAGTTTGTTCTGTTTCTTTCTCATTGGAGCCATCAAACCTCCCTCAACTGTCAAGAGACCCTGGTTCTGTCTGATCTCATAAGGGGTGTGCTTGCGAATCTCAGGATCGGAAGTTCTTCCACCCAGCCGGACATAGTTCTTCTCGAACACCGAGATATGCTTGATAAGTTGATCAAGAGCATGGTTGGTTTGAGCGGCGATGATTATCGGTGGATCCTTGGGCCCTTTGTTCGAGAGCATCATCCTCAGAGCGGCGAGGGAGGTAAAGGTCTTGCCCGTTCCAGGAGGGCCCTGGATGATGGCCAGCTTTTTAGTCAACATTCGGTTCAGGGCTGACCACTGGGATGCATCTAGCTTTCCCATTGGCTGGGAGGGCCATCGCTCGAGGATGTCGTATTTGTTCGTGACATCGAGTCCAGAGACTTCGGACAATGGCGAAAAGTCCATGGATGGCGCGGTGTTGATGTATCCCGGTGCATCAATGTCTTCCTCCAAGCTGCAGATTTGTTCGTTCAACGGGAAACTAGATAAGGTTAGGTAGCTTTCAATAAGGGAGATACGATTTGCCGCTGACCTTTCCTTTGACAACTTCTGCAGTGCTGTCAAGGTGTGTCGATTTGCCTCAAAATATCCCGCTCGAGCCTCAACCATGATCCATTCTTGCCTGAGAAATAACAGTCAGTATTGTTATATCTTTCAAAACCACTCAACCATAGTATTTCTCACTGTGGATCAACCTCGATATCCTCGGACGAGGCCAAGAAGAGATCGACCTCTGGGGGGTCTTTCTCAACCGATTCCAGCAGCCGACAAGCCACGACGGCGACAACACATTTGCTCAAGAATGCATTGCGCTTGGGGGTAAGGGCAACGAGTGTTCCAGGGTTAAGACGGTTAGAGTATGTCCAGGCAATATTCTTGCCCGCACGACGAGTTGAGAATTGGATGTGCAACGCCAAACCCGCTCGGGCTAAGGTAACACCGACAATGAAGACCTTTGATGTAAAAGAGATGGTCAGTATTATCCAAATCCAAGAAGTTCCAACGACAGAGCAATACTCACCTTCTCATAGATGGAGATATCCTGAGTATCCTTCATAAAAGGATCAGCGCGAACCCGGGCCACGGCATTTCGAAGAGGTGCAACTGAGTCTTCCCGGATCAATGCATAATGGGCCTCTAGGTATTTCTCCTTGGACACCCAAGGTTCCGAAATGCAATTGGGGGTAAGAGCGACAATATCTCCTGATACGTCTGTCCCGAGGATCTCTTCGGTCGAAGGAAGCTCGGGCTTAGTTTGCCAAAGCTTCCAAGGGCCGTAGACTGGTAGATCTGGGTCGAAGTACTGGCGGATTTCAGGATTAACCGGTCTGACCTGTTCCTTGGGTCTATGACCATACTGAAAGCGAAAGTGGGACATGATTGTCTAAAGAATGTGTTGGATGGGAAGGAGTAGAAGAGAGAGTGGCATCAATCGTGGGGGGTTAAATCCAGCGCTGAATATTATCTATCAGGCCGCGCGGATCTGGACGCATTAGGAGGACATACGATGGATTGTGTATGAAACTAAGTGAGGCATGAGTGAGAAGCGATTGAAGGCGACTAGAAGGAAATATATTGTATAAGAGAGAGGCAAACCAAAGTTAAGACAATGCTTGCTATATCTGATATATTGTATACCCACTGCCTACTACCTAGTAGTGTTGTATAAGAAATGCATTCCCGATGTGCAGCTAGCTAACATATAAGATCACACTATATAGTCAAAGCTCAATATTACGAATGTTCTATATTACAAAGAACATCCTACATATATACTACATATGTATATATAACATACTAGCATGTTTGTTAATTATATCCAGTCTATTGTGCAGGATATGTAAATTGATGTGATAGATTGTATATAGTAGGCTCTTGACGCTCATTGGTCCGTCAAGCATCGGACCCATTCCCACCGCGGAAGGTTGGTCCATTTTCAGTCGCGGACTTGACAACGCTCCCTCTCTTTGTTCTCTTGTACTCTAGAGCTGGGGCATAATTTCAATCTCACCGCCATTAGCTTTAGTCTCATTTTCCTTTGTGTCGGAGCTGTTTGTCCGAAACTGCCACCCTGTTTGAATTGCTGCGCGCAAACGATAGCTACCCCACAACTCGGACTGCCACGAGAGGCGCGGTAATCATGGCTTCAATGGAGGAAGAAGAGGAACGTGACATGGGAGGTATGACAATCCTTTGTCTCAATGGCCCGCTAGCCGATCGATCTCAACCTTGCTAATCACCCTCGCGGTTCCCTAGGCTCCCAGGATGGAAGCTCCGATAACGAGAATGAGAACGATATGGACGACACAATGCGCGACGTCGACGATGGCGAAGGCGACAATGACAATGATCAAGACGGGGATGGGGATCAGGATCCTGATAGCCCTTCGAATGCGAGCCAGGCGTCGGAGGGCCCTGCCATTCAACAAAACACAAATAGCAATGGCGACAGCTCTGTGTTGGAACCGTTCTCAATTTACCACCCAAGTGTGCGCCCCGAATGCCTCACAGCCCGAACCTACGATGTGATACCAACCACCGCCGCACCGCATGCGACCTCGATCAATACCGTCACAGCGACAGCGGATATGCGTTGGGTCTTCACTGGTGGATCCGATGGATTCGTTCGAAAGTTCAACTGGGCGGACTCAATAAACAGCAAGCTCATGTTGACCGTGGCGCAAAGGCATCCCTTCGTGGATAGTGTGGTCAAAGCTGGAGTCCTGATGACATACTGGGAGAACATGGATGGCGCCCAGTTGTCACCGGTGTACTCTTTGGCCTGCCATAGCGAAGGATTATGGATGCTTTCCGGTTTAGAATCCGGGGTAATTCGTCTGCAAACACTGCGCCACGAAGAGGGCAAGGAAATTGCGCTTCTGCGACAACATACTTCTGCAGTGTCCTCCCTGAACCTCACATCAGATGAAGAATCATTGCTCTCCGGGGGCTGGGATAAACGGGTTTTTGATTGGGATCTGAATACTGGTCAACCTCGACGGGCTTTCGGTGGTAGCGGTGGACAAATATCTGCTTTGCAGATTCGGCCAGAGTCCACCCTTCCAGTCCCCCAGGACACAATTGAAGCGCAACAGACCAATGGCACATATTCATCAAACTATGATGCGCCTGGTACAGACAACTTCAGTTTCATGGATACCTCTCATGACAATGGAGATTCGGGCCCGGTTGAGAACCCGCAGGCGGGATCCCCGGCAGACTCACTTTTTGGCGGAGCGGACTCGTTATTCGGTGATGCGGATGGCGGAGCCGCTGATGGTGGTGAGCCATCCGGGGGAGTATTTGGGGTAGACGAGGACGACGAATTTGGCCAAGCTGTAGCCAACGGTGCTATGCAGGATGTCGATGCGCCAGGAGAAGTTGATGATGAAATATCTGCTCAACTAGACGCGGGATATGTACAAGACACGCAGAATACATTGTCGAACCAAACAAATACTCATACGGATGAGCCGGTCCAGAAAATGGTAATGGAAATGGACGACGCGGACATCCCGACTGGCGCAGTGCAGCCTCTTGTCAATGGACTCCCTAAAGCAGAGGATCTCGAGACACCCCCACCAGCCCCAGACTTCTCACAAAATACCCAACAAGAGCACGGTGTGACAAGTGATAACACATTCCTGGCTGCTTCAATCGATGGAACAATCCGAGTCTGGGACCGGCGACAGCCTGATCCTGTCGCTCGCATCACCCCCTATAATTCTCCTCCATGGTGTATGAATGCTTGTTGGTCCCCCGACGGAAATTACATCTATGCCGGACGCCGAAATGGCACTGTCGAGGAATACAGTCTCCACAAGGGTTTGAGAAATGCCGAACGAACATTCAAATTCCCACAGGGGAGTGGGCCGGTGACAGCGCTCAAGGCCATGCCGAATGGGCGTCATCTTGTCTGGTGAGTGAAGGACCATGAGGCAATGCAGAACTTCTTTTCTAATCTTCCTTAACAGTGCCTCCCACGATATCCTCCGTCTCTACGATCTGCAAAACGAGCAAGGCGACCAGTCTTCTCGCCATTCGCCGGTTCCGTTCCTGATCATTCCTGGTCATCGGACTGGAACTATCTCCCAGCTGTATATCGATAATGCATGCCGTTACATGATCTCGACCAGCGGTAACCGGGGCTGGGAAGGAAACACCACTGAAGTCCTCCTTGGTTACGAGATCGGTGTGCCGCAATAGGAAAAGCTGTGTAAGATGGACATGCAAAAGCATACATTTAATGAATCATAGTGACACATAATGAACGAATATCATGACTTGAAATCCGAAGGCGCGAGATTGATAAATTGAACCAAAACAGACAGTAAAATTTGTACCCAAAAGCCCCAAAGCCCAAATCCTGCAATTGAGACGATTGTCGTGTAAATATATACAAACACCAACGCCAGTTCCTTTTATATTTACAACATGTACAAGACCATGTCATATAAAAACCGAAAGATCATCGCTCATCATGAAGGACTTCATCCAGGTCCAACCCCTCACAAAATTCAGCTTGCTGAGCTCGCCAAGTGCCAAAGTAGGGATTGTTAGCCCACTTAACATGTCCATCACGATCGCTATCGAAATAGACATAGCCAGGCTGATCAGCATCTGCCGATTTCAACGCTTTTGCAGCTCCTCGAGGCCCAACCACAAGACTACCAAAACCAGGCAACGCAAGATTGGGAACATGAGTCCTTGCCTCAACATTCCCGTTCTCGATGTTATTGACAGTAATGAGATAGACAGGCGGGAGATCTGCCTCGCGGTTTGCACGAAGCGGCATAGGAATCCACGCCTCATTGTTATAGGACTCTGGGCGGTTCTTGTCGTGGCGGAGAGGCAGGGGCCGAGCCAAGAGCATGTCATCCAACTTGCCTGTGTCTAATAGCAGACCCGGCGTTTGAACATAGAGCACGCTGTCATACTGCATGAACTGGATCTGGCCCAGGTGGAGCAGCTTGCTGTTTGTTGTTGAGTAGCCTGCAGCTGTAGCTGCTGCCATGTCGATTGGGAGGAGCCAGATATTGTATTTGGCGCTGGCGGCGCGTAATATTGATAATGCTTTAGTGGCGGATGGGCCCAGTTTCTTGGCTGACATCCGGTCCCATTGCTCTGGGTACATGAAGAGGCGGTCCTGGATGGCTGTGCCTTTTGTAGAGAGTTGTTTGAAGAAGAGGATTGCAGAGCAGATGTCTGATGGATCTGGTTCGGATAGCATTTGGAGATAGGCATAATTTCCAGACGAGTCGTAGTTGGGTTGACTCCCAATGATTGGTATATCTTCATCGGCCCCATAACCCGTATCTGATAGATCTCGTTTTAGTGGCTTTTGGAATGCGGGGCCCGTCCTGTACCTGGCCTTTTGGGCAGCTTCCTGGGGCTTCAAAGCATGCTGGATGCTCTTGACAGATTGCTGCTGTAGGACATATCCAGAGAAAAATAACAATGCAGTAAATATGCAGATCACTCCCATCGACACAATGGCCGAAACTGTGGAGGATGTTAAAAGTACCATGGCCACAAGGGAGGCTGCATGGGATGAATAATGAGAATGTGGTAAGGCAAAATTAGAATTTCAGACATACATGGCCCCCGGGATGATGTTCAAATATAACAACCCTGGACTATCAATCTCCAAGCATGTTTTCCAAGGTTATTGTTGGGCTTGTTAGCTTGTTTCATGACATCAGGTTGTTTACGTTGTCCACGCGACTATCGATAAGCCTGGTCTTGGCGGTGTCAGTACAACAACATTGTTGGTTGACCAAGATGTTTATTTTTAGCCAGACAGTGATCATCCGGAGGCCCATCTAGATGATGATGGATGCACATGATTCTTGCTAGCGATTCAAATGAAACCAATGATAGAGCAATGTTATGACGAAAAGAACCTTTGGCGGGATCTGTCGCGGTGATGAAGGCGGTGATAAAGGCGGTATCCTCCAAATCCGCATTATCGCGATGGTCGCAAAAAAACAGCCGTGGCCCTTTTCATTTCTCTTCGATGCCTTGGCACTTCCGCATCCGCTCTCACCTCCACAATGGCAGCCCATCGTGCCGATGCCAGCTCGTTCCTCGATAACCGTGGATACAAGGGCCCCCTGGTCCGTGGCGTCAATCCCGCCACGCTCTTCGAGAAAGCTGTGCGCGACCGCATCACCGATTCATACTACTGGAAGGAACAGTGCTTCGGTTTGAACGCAGCGACTCTGTGTGATCGCGCAGTCGAATTGACCTCCATTGGTGGAACATACGGTGTCTCTGAGAAACCAACGCCCTTCCTTTGCCTTGCATTCAAGCTCCTCCAGCTCGGACCTGACCGAGAGGTCATCCTCGAACTACTCAACTACACCGACCCCGGCAGTGGCGATGAGGCAGAAGATCCAGATGATGCTCTTGTCAAAGAGCGAGGCGACTTCAAATATCTGCGCGCTCTTGCAGCCTTCTACGTGCGACTGACCTTCGACCCGGTCGATGTCTACAAAACTCTGGAACCACTACTTCTCGATTATCGGAAACTGAAGCGACGGGTGCGCGACACTTTCACGCTTACATATATGGATCAGTTCGTCGACGATCTTCTCACGAAAGACCGTGTCTGTGGTACCAGTCTCTGGAAACTGCCGCCGCGATCACAACTGGAGGACTTGGATTTGCTGGATGAGCGAATCAGTCCCTGTGAACCAGAAGACTGAGTCCAATATGACTTCTCAGTGTACAAAAATATAACTCCAGAGAAGGGGTAGAGGTTGCCAGAAAGACAAGACTAACACGTCGGGTTATAGTGAGTTTTGTCTAAGTGGCCAGTGCTGTGCGCTGTCCAGAGGTGCTTCCCCCATAATCAGACAGTCATCTGCCGCCAAGCCTCGGGACATTTTTACCCTTTTGGGCAATACAAGGGCTTCCCCTTCAGTATACTTGTTCCCTTCTTATCTTTTCTTGTTTGTTTGCAGAATCAATTCATCCAAGACATTGCCTCTGGGGTTCTATCTATATTGATCAGCGTAGGGAGTGAGTTAACAGCTAGACAATCACCTCCGAACAATGCCATTTTGCACCTCTCTGATGTGTAAATTCGACAAATCTGCGTAACTGATCTACATGCACCTGATGCACCTACATACCTTACGTACATGGACACCTTGGTAGAATATATGATAAGGACATCTGGAAATGTAACCTGATAAGCATAACACCACTTTCAATAAACCGCCTGTGACGTCGACATGGCATCGACCGCCAGCGTTTCCTCTCCTAACACGGCAAATCCAATCGAGCCAGAGGACTAAAGCAGCTATCCAACGCGTATCTCTTGTCACTCTGAATGGATACGAATGTCATCCCCGCATCGGACATCCCTCATCCAAGTGCGACAAGATCCGAATATGTTTTGCCCACAGTTGACCCGGAGAGTATTTATACTCTGTGGACCCTGTCCGTCCATAGCTCAATACATTCGCAAAGCCTCCCCTTTGCAACTGTGCTGGTATAAGTTTTATATACTGAATCAGAATCACCATCCATCTACAGTTTGCCTTAACTCGTATGGACTGAGCCGTTATGAACTTCCTGTGGATTCTGGAGAATCTCTGGCGAGTTGGATTCATCCTTCTAGCTGCCACTGGAGCCTACGCTGTCATTAATCGGACATTTGGCAGATCTCTCCTGGCTAGAGTTAAATTGCGTGGCCGAAAACATTCGACTTCTCAAACTCCACCGCGGTCTTTCTCTCCGGAAAAGAAAGCTGTAACAAGCCCAACATCCCCATCTAGCTATGACAACGTGCTCCCACCCCAACGCAGACACACACTTGCAGATCTTAATTGTGATGCTACACCCAGACGCGACGTGCACGAAGGTGAAGTGCGCCGGAACATTCTACCCATGAGCGCCGACTATATGACCAGCCCGAGCGACAAGTACACACCGATGGGATTTTCCGTGGCTGAAGTCAAACAACTAGGGGACTTCCCAAACTATGCGGCCCTCAGTGGAGTTCCACTCCCAAGCCCATATCCCGAATTCAACATCGACAAAGCCCTGCCTCGGCCATATCGTCCATTCCGATGGGCGTATCACCAAACCATGTGTATGTCTCGTAGAAAGCGGAACAATCATGATTTGAAACTAATATCCTGCTCCGTTCAAAAATAGCCTTGACCAAACTAGAAACAGACTGGTGGATCGAGCTCGAAAACACGTACAAGAGCCGCATCGCCCAGCGCAAAGAACTCTACGCTAAGAATGGCAAAGAAGTCCTCGATTCCATGCCAGGCTCTGAGCTTGCATGCAAGGAGCTGATGGAGATGGTCTTGCAGTTCATCTGCGCCCGATACCCGCAGTACTTCACACTGGTAGACAAGCGCATACTGCAGAACAAAATCCTCGGTACCGAGCAGGATGTCACAGCCAAGCCGCCTCTCGAAGTTCTTCTGGACAACGTACCAGAAGACTTCGCAATCATGCTTCGTGATGACACGACGGGATTCTATTTCCTGCGCGCGGCGGTGATCTGCTCAGCGATGGGGTGGAATGTCGCGACAAAGGTTGGGAAGCAGCTGCATGAAATCCACGAGCCGATTCCGGATTATAAGGAGAAGATGCAGTTCTCAATGGATCGGTATGACTCTTATTCTTCGGATATTATTACAGTGCTAACACAAGAGCTTGGTTTAGATTTTTCACCAAGATGCCGACTGAGAAACCAATTCAGCGAGGCTCTTGGGGCGTAGAAATTGGACAGCCATTGTACGTGCCACCCGGGCACCCTCACGAAATGAATCGGCAATCCCAGCGGGCTGACTTGGCCATTGACGAGTGTCACCTGCGGGTAGACTGGCAAACCCTCAGGCGTCTACCCTTGTCCGGTGCGGTGGTTTTCAATTTCAAAGGGCTTTTTACTCCAGTCACGGAATTCCGCGATGAGCCTGGCGTGCCGGGTTTGGTGATGAAGCTAGTGACAGAGGGAAAGAAGAACCTCATGGAGTACAAGGGTGTTTGGCATGTGCAGCATGTTGTAATCCCTAGGTTGAAGGAATGGGCAGAGGAGCAGAAGGAGAATGGATTAGTTCCGAAAGATTGGGAGGTCTCTACTTTGGATGACAGTCCATGGTTCAAGGGTTGGCAGGAAAAGTGGCATCGGCAACAGGGATTCTAGGCGGTTGATATGTGATTGCTCCATGGCATTGTTTCTTTGGTTAAATAGTTCCATGATTCCAAGATAGTTATAAGGAATGTACGGAAGTAGCCGTTCATTCCCACATCCGCTACGACGTTCGCTACGATGTTCGGTTCGGCTTCGTCCCAACCAAGTTAGGCGCCCCGCTAGTGAAGCTTTCATTAGTACATGGCCAAAGTTTTCTTTCCCTCCAGCGTTTATTTAATTGATTCATTTGTTCCTTGGACCCCTAACGAACTTGATCACCCACATCATGCCGAGATCCGTTCAGCACTGGCCAGGGGGAATCCCCACTTCCATCCAACCACACCCAGAGACAGATTTATCTCTGGACCAAATTAAGGAGGAAGTCAAAGGCTGGCTACTATTTGTACAGGTGTGTTCTTTATAGCATTCAAATTTCCAAACAACCACCTTATCAAGTTCTGCGCTAACATGCATCCAGGAGAATTGGGTTTCTGCAGCAAACGCAGGTTCCTCCTCCGATGAGAGATATGAGTTATACCACCGCCGGCAACTGGTGGAAAAATGGGCTTCGGCTACACAGGAATTTCGTGATGTGAATTCGACTCGGTCAAATCTGTCCTCGAAGTTCATTGTACTAACGATTTTTTTTTCGCCCTTATTCAGGCGTACCAATCGCGTGCACCTGTGGGTCTTCCAGGTACAGAGGGGCCAAGATCGAACATAAATGAACCTGTTAAAGGTCTTCGATACCCAGCCGAAGCATTAGAACGTCTCTACGACACTCTTCAGCCGATCGATATTAACGGCCTGATTTCTCTTGCCCCTGTTGATGAAACCCATCCTGCAAATCGAGCGCGATGGGTGAAATTCGCGATCCTATTATATAACTATGATATTGAGACTGGGCACTGTCTACTCGATAATTATATGCCATCGGAGGCTATCCTTAATCCAGCAACCACTACCGATCTATCAGTAGAGGATTATCTGCCCTGGGCGGATCTTGAGACCGCAAACTTCGGGTCTATCTATCTCACACATACTGGCAAAGTACTCTATCTCGGTTATTCAGGCCCATACATGTTGGTTGATGGACTAGGTCTAAGAACCGGGCGCCTGACAATTGTCGAGTTTGAAATCAACGGGACTGTGAAAGAATCTGTTGAAGTCCGCCCGTTTAATATGCGAATGCCATACTTGAGCGCCTTCGAGAATTGGTCAGGTTTTGGGGATATCAAGCATGCTCGGGGTGCTTATAGACACCAAAATCCGCCGTGAGTATCCATTGACCTACCAGCCCAATAAACTAACGCATGATATTAGACTTGACATGGACCTACCGATCGTCGATATTCTCTGTCAAGCCAAGGACGCTAACCAACTTCCAAACTCAATGTTCCTCTGTGACCGAGAGCAGTGGACAAGTGATGTTGAGCTATATGCCCCGGGCTACTTGGCTCTCGAGGCCGAAGGGCGCGGGGGAGAGTACCCCCTAACCCGTCTCACTGTACCAGGCCCTATCCAGGCGGTCAAGAAACAGGTTATGAGCAGGGTGCAGGACCCCAATTTCACACACCCCAATTTTCTGTTCATTCCTCTAGGCCGATTTCCATGAATCTCCTAGATGTGAAGACAGCCGTGATGATGCCTTGCAAAGTTAGGATTACACGATTTTGATTGCACGCGCGGTGTGACGTGCCAGGTCTTTTAAACAAAGTGTGCATTGAATTCAGAATAAATAAGATAGGGAGAGAGAGGAAGGAAGCAAGTTGCAAAGTGGGAGACAGCTAGTTCTTATAGCTGTGTCCTGACCGCTTTGTAAACAATGCAAACTTCGAATCATCTCGCTAAACTATCTAGCAAACAATCTAGCTAATGCAAACTAGCAAACAAACAAACAGGCAAAGCAAGGCAAATGTTGGATCGTAACACGCGGCAGATCAAGCAAGATCGAGGTGGTCTTTTGAATTTACCGAGCCTACGGATAGCAACATTAGCACCCAGTTCCAGGACACAGTACTAGAAAACCCAGGTCCAGAGACCGCAGACTCTGTATATACCGACAAGTGGGCAATTAGCTGATGTATTTTACGATTTCATGTATCATTATGTATTAGGTCTTGACTTTGGCATCAAGATTCTTTGACAGTGAAAATCTTGGCATGCGCCCGTGCACAGACCATTTCCCCACTTTATTTTAAGGTTAACCGCCTTGGCGCTCGGTCCGCCGTCAACCATACAACAAGTGCATCGTCCCTGCCTACCTTACTCCCAAGGTTGCTTCCAAGTCTTCTCTACATAGTAAACATCTCAATCGTGACATTGTATAACACTAGACTAAATCCTCAAATCTCATTGAACTGGACTTAGCTGTATCCTGATAATCGCAGTCTTCGGAATTCAATCAAAATGTCGAGAACTACATGTAACCTATACTATTCATTTAGACATGCACATAGGTGACTTACCTAGAAATAATGTACATGCATAAGCAAAGTTTAAAAATTGTAAGAGAAAAGGAACATCAATGTAATACTCAAGACCCAACAGCAGGTGGCCTAGTGGTAACATTACGTGTACCACGAGGGAAGTGCCTAAGATCTTCCACTACCTGGACTGTTCCGGTTCAGCTCCGGTTGTTCTCGCCTTTATCTCTTTTTTTTTCTCCTTTTCTTTCCCATTCCACCTTCCTTGTTTTCATGAGAAGATAGCATCCTTCTGATTTTCCTCTTATTACAAGGACTCTTCTTTCATATAAATGAAGAATAATGAGCAACCAATACAGACGCATCGCTATTGATCAACCTTGGAAGCCATAGCGAAACATGGCCATACCATGCGCTGTTGACAGTCCAAGGCTTGGCGATAATCTGCAGATCAACCTTGGGGCGGTCTTACATTGACCTGCATTGACCAATCATGCTCTTTACCGCGCATGGTTTGTTATCTAAATGCCTTCTTCGATTGTCGCCCATGACAAGGATCTGTCTTTGTTGCCCCAAGCCACTAGCACATTGTGGTGATTCTGGAGAAAAATACCAGTCTACCCGAAAAGGAACAAAGAGGCTATCCAAATTAAGAGACAAAGAATCCTTGTTATTCCAAGTGACATACGTAGTTTCCAATCCAACTCGTATCTTCTAACAAGGGGACAAGTATCCGTTGACAATGTGCATTATTTTTGGATGTCTCAGGTCTACTCTTTGATGAAAGACAAAGGTCCCTTCCCTTGTTCTTTACCATAGAATGTAAACCCACTCTCCAAAAGCTATATAAAGCCCCGGTTGCTCTGAAGTAGATATGCATCAAGTGCTCCGCCAGCTTCACTATTCCAGTAATCTGGCTCTAGGGCTTGCGATCCCTTTACCCCAGTGGTCAAGTACAACTTACAAGTCTAACCCTTTCCCCTCCTAGAAAGAACAAATTCAGGAATCATGTCAGCTAACTACAACTGGCAGGCTGTCCACCCGGTCTACGGCGTACCCATTTCCGTCGTGCAAGCCACCGAGCAACCAGTAATCCGCTGTGACGTTCGTCAGAAGCACAATCTCCCTTCCAGGTCATGGGCGGTTTGTATTTCCACATGGATCAACACTAATTATTTCTTATGGTCTTTGTGCGCTGGCCTCGCCGGCTATCGCTCTGACAAGGAGTGGACGAGTACCTTCGAAACTCATTATCGGAAGACCTGGGATGAAATCCAGGCTAGAGTTCACGAGATCGAGGGGCCTTATAGGTTCGGTATACCCATTCCAATGCCCCCAGTCAGGAGGGCTGTAGTCATCCACCACCCCGAGAGTGGCCCTGCGCAGACATTCACGGTCCGTCCGGAGCCTCGCCCGTCACATCTTGTCCCGCAGGTGACTACTATGTCTCGACATGCTGTATGGGGGCTTTTGCGGTTTGTGACTGAGCGTCAGTCCTGTGTGCCTGATCAATTTGACGTAGTGCTCGATATATTGCCGCCAGCGCCAGCACCCCCTGTAGGTACACGTATTCGGGGTGTGGCTAGAAAGAGTGTATATCAAGGCGACTCGAAGGATGATGTGATAGACACATACTGCCAGTTCGGAAATTGAGAGGAAATGACGTAAGTGCTGTGGGTTTCCGCTTTCGAGAAAAAGAATATACAATTTATTGAGTGAAATACACAGTAAAGCAACGGTAAATAGTATAAAGTATCTTGTAGACATAGGTCAAACTGTGCCATTTGTGCCGTTTGTGCCGTTTGTGCCGTTGACTTGGAGTGGTGGTGTGGTGACTTTCAAATCGTCCATGTACCACGCCAAATCACCTGCCCCATTCAGATCACGCACACTTTCACCGTTACCTAGGCATCGGAACCGGTTCTTAGAGCGGTAGTCAACATTGAAGTGCTCCCCGCCAATGTTTTCAAGGCAGTCTTTGAAGTGTAAAATCGTGCCCGGGTATACTCCGGTGACTTGGCCTTTACTCTTTCCGTTTTTGTACCAGCTCCGACACTCATCCGACCAGACCGTACGCTTGAGGAACTCCTGACACCAAACGTTATAGTCTTCCATGGCTTCCTTCTTGACATCAATTGACCTGTGCGAGATATGTTAGTCACACGACTGGACCCACGACGACCACAATAACTCACTTGATATCATGTTCAGCAATCCTCTCCGCCCACCGGAGAATGTAATCACATGTCCAAGAGACCTCGGTCAAAAGCGAGCCATGGGAGATAGGGCAATTCGGCCCGTTGAAGATAAAGTAGTTCGGCATTGACTCCACTTGGACCGCAAAGAAGGCCTCGGGGTTGACTTTCCATCGCTCTTCCAATCTGGCTCCATTGCGGCCAACCAGCTTCCAAGATGGAATAAAGGACGTGTCAAACCCTGTGGCACAGACGATCACATCAAATTCTTGCTCGTCACCTTTCGATGTCTTGATACCATGTTCTGTGATACTTTCGATTGGATCGAAGGTGAGAGTCGCATTGTCCTTGTGGAAAGCCTCCAGATACCCATCTCCTGGCGACAAGCGACGGCAGCCAGGACGGAAATCATGAGAAAGCATCTTTGACACAACTTCTGGGTCAGAGATTCCCTTCATTCGCTCCGCCATTTGATCCGCAGAAGCCTGTGTCAAGCCCAATTGCATCGGGTGGCCTTTATACATACCAAAAAAGAACGCATTGACACTGTACTCGGAATTGACTTAGTTCTGACCTCTGTCGGGGAGTGGACTTTGAACTTACCTGTTCTCCAACCCTCTTCGGTACTTGAAATGAGCCTCTGGATCTTCCGCGAACTTCTTTTTCTCCTCTTCTGTGAAGGTAAAATTGCCTCCACTTTCTGTCATCTCCGCGCAAAAGTTGACAGAGACCCAGGTCGGACTGCGCACAAAGTTGACAAGTCTGGCAACCTTCGGCTGCATTGCAGCGACGCATTGAATTCCGGAGGAGCCATTACCAATGACTGCGACACGCTTGTTCTCCCAGTCGTAGGTGTTATCCCTATTACTCGTTATTAATCTTTGTTTGAGAGTTCATAAACAACATTTACTCACCAAGTCGAAGTGTGAATCAACTTGCCCTTGAAACTCGACAGGCCCTCAATCTTGGGCCAGTTGGTTTTGCTAGCAGGAAAACCGTTAATAAGAGTGGGAATGTCGAGGATAACTGATTCTCACTTCAAGAAACCGGACGCATTGACCAGAATATCGGCCTCGTCATGCGTGATTGTACCATTTTGGTCTACCACCACTTTCCACTTTCCGAGCTCTTCGTTCCACACGGTCTCAGTAACACGGGTGTTAAACTGGACGTCTTTGTCCAAGTTCCATTTCTTCGTTGTTCGTTGAATGTATTCCTCAATCTCGGGACCGGGTGCATAGAATTGGGACCAGGTTGGGTTAGGCTCGAATAAAAATGTGTATGCATCTAAGTGAATGTCAATTTTGGTTTCCAAAGAGCTACCGAGGAGTCTTACGAGCCGGGACATCACTAAATATGTTAGAAAATACAGTCATGCTTATTGGAAGTATAGACTACTCACCAAGCAACACCAGGATAGGTATTCTCGAACCAGGTTCCGCCGACCTGGGGATTCTTCTCGTAGATCTTGAAATCCACGACATCGCCGAGCTTCAGCTCGTGGTCGATCTTGTGGGCAAGTGTCAAACCCGAGTAGCCCGCGCCGATACAGATTATCTTGAGTTTCCGTCGCGCAAAGGCAGGTTGCTCGGCGCAAGGGACCCAATTGGGAGGGGTCTCGCCGTTAGCCACGCGGGTAGCGGGTGTTAACCCATTTGCAGTGAGGTCAGACATATTGAGGGATTCAAAGACTGAGCTGTTAATGAATTTCTATTACAATGCTACTATAGCTCCCGCTTTATAGAAGAGAGGAAATGAGAACTTAGGGGGCATATGGGGTGATTTCTTTTTTTCCCCTTAGTTTTGGCTTTGGGGGAACACATTTGGTCTAGGCTGTTACTCTGTACTTTTGTACACGGAGTAGGTTTCTGAAGGCATATAGCGTCAATTGAGAAGAAGTCGTTGGCTATTGGCAAACCCGCTAGACAGCTTATCTCCACACCAGCACGGGGAAGCTAGTCGGACGTGCGGAGTACAAAGTACGGAGTAGTGGCTCTCTCCATAATTTCCATAATTCTCACCCCTTTCAATTGGCACATGGCGCCGCCTATCACGCCAAGTTTCGAAATGAAGCGCAAATTTGGGTTCACGCTAAAAACGGTCCTGCGTTGAAGGATCGTTGAAGGATCCTTGGAGAACAATGAACCGACCCCAACGTACCCGCTACAACGCTCGGTTAAGGTTCCTTTTATTATCTCAATTCCGCTTGCCAGGACGGTATATGTGCCAATGGCACGTTTTATTTCATATCGTACATTTCTCGAATGTGATGCATCTCAAACTGCAATTCACAAAGCCGAGGGACTCCCCATTGAAGACAGATCAGCATTATTTGCGTGTTTTATACTTATCCCATGTCACATCCACCTCCTGATGGACTGTGATAGCACAAGGGTCTCCTCGCTCCACATCATGATGATCACTCACAGCCTCGTCCCTCAGCGACCGGGGGCCACTTATATCGTTCATTAATTCGACTTCATCTACACAGCTAAATTCATTGATGCTGAATAATGAGTCCATGGGTGGCTTTTTGGATCGGGGTTTCCGGAGCCAGGTCGTCGAAGCAGAAGCAGATGCATTCTCGCCACTTGGAGTGTTGCGGCTGTTTGATGAGCGCCCTGTCCGAGCCTTGGACCACCATCGACGAAAGAATGGCCCGAACGTAGGGAGGCACGCGCAGATGATCCCAACGAAAGGTTCCACGGACGACCAGATAAAGACCGGTGCCATAGTCCACGTAGCGTCTGTTCCGTGGGTGTTGTTCTGAAGGGCGATGATCCGGCAAATACTTGCGACGCAAACACTGAGCTTGATTAGCCCGGATAATGTTATAGTAGGAGAGGAGAAGAACATACAAACTCCCTAGGAGCAAGATGCCAACGACCGCTAGCTTCTGCGACGATTGCATCTGCAACTTGTAAATTGTTGGCATCGGCATACACAGTATTATCACATCAATCAACATAGCACCAATTCCATTGCCGAAGAAGAATTTAGGCACATCAATGCATACACCAACGGCTGTTGGATCAGTATAGGCCAGCCAGAAATATGGTAGTGGTCGACATGCCACTGCAACCGTGACGATAATGGTGACCCAATACCCAAGCACCAAGAACATGCAGAAGCCTAGTGACCAGCGAAAGTTGAAGATGCGGCCGTAGAAGAAGACGATCGAGGATTTGGTGAAGGTGATAGCTGTGGCGTAAATCATCACATAGGCAAAAAGTATCTGAATGTTTGGTCAAAGTCTGTCCGAAAGCACCTCGTTCGGTATTTTCCTTACCTTCCAAACAGTAATAAACTCTGCTTTGTTCAAGGATTGTAAATGATAACCGTTGCCATATGGAATGCCTAAGAAATCTGGTGTAAGTGATGTGCCATCCATTTGTCACGACTCATTTTGACTCACTTATAAAGCAGGATATTGCTGTGCCCCAAGAGAATATAAGAGCTGCAACGATTAGATAGTCATCGAGAGCTAATTTTCTGGCCTCTTTGTTCTTCATTGGCGCAACTAATCGCAATATAACTGCGATGGTCCCGAACACCGCTACAGGAATAACCGCTCCCAACAAGTTGCCTGTCTGATTTTTCGCCAGATCTACCCCGGCCGGTGCTGGGCCAAAGTCACCTGTAGCAGTGATGCTAGGCATTTTTGCGGTCTTGCGTGTGGGGGAAAATCACGAAAGAATGGCACAGCCCCGCGACCTGAAGATGTATATCCTGGAATTCGGGTGGACCACTCCATATGTATATTGATTTCCAAAAGCCAAGCCCTTTATTCAGCTATTTAATGACGAAGACTCCTTTGGATGAAAGATTTTGTTTTTGACCTATCCAAGGTGCTCGGACTGGTGATGATCCGCGGACATGAAACTAAATTAAGTCCCAAAGAAATCTCAGTGTCGGTGTGCTCCATATAGGGGGAGCCGTTGCTATTCAAGTCAAAAAGTACATTCTAGAGCCTGGGCTGGGCAACGACTCGCTAGTGTGGTTGTGACACTTCGTAACTTCGTAACGGTCCTCCGAATGCCATTCGATCCCAGTGCCGGGGACATGCCGGCCCCACAATCCGTCCGTTTGACACGCGCGGGATGTCCCGCTTCCTTCCATGGTACCGTACTTTTAACCCTAAATCTCGGCTTTCACAACGACAATGGATATCTCCACTCGCCAAGTCTGCCTCTAGTACTGCCAATTTCTGTTTAGGGGTTGAGTAGCCAGAAAGCCGGAATTAGGAATCCTTGTCTTTCACGCTATTATTTATCTATTATTGGCAACGCCTAAGCAGAAACACATGGAACGTGGGCAAAAGTCATCACTTATCTTGTTACTTGCTTCCCCCCATTTGTGGAAATTACGATTAATTCTCTCCCACACCACTTGCCCTTATATATATACTTAGATGATTTGTACGAGGCGTGCGCCCCTTTATTTTCACAAAAAGTACTCGGTGTAGGCGCTCAATCAGTGTCGTACTTTTCTCACTCTTCTTAAACTCTATATACGTCCTATCCCACAATAAAATCCTTCCAAGGTCACCTGCATCCTATTGCGGTAATAAATCATGACTATCAAGCGCCATGCGTTGTCTAGTGGGTGAAGATATTCATGAGTCGCTAGGTTATATTATTTACTCCTCAGAGCAGGCCGCCTTTGGGACCAAATGCATCGCTGATCTCATTTCAAGCTTAGCTCACGTCTCAATTCTAGCTGGGCCCCCATGTTGCAAGCAGGTTGTGAGTCAGCTTTCTGGCTCCTTGAAGTGGATAGGACTTTTGCTCCCGGCCTGGATTGGTCCTCCTTTCTCTCGCTTAGCTAGCAGCCAAGCTCAATCCATGGGTCCTTTTCTGTTGCCTTCTCCACGCAGGTTCTTCAAGCAACTCTTCAGTTGCCTTACTGCCGATCCTTCTGAAATAAAAAGAAATACGAAGCACTGCCAGGGTCTACATGATTCATGTAAATCACGAGGGTAAGTAGCAGCTTTATTATGCTTGTTCTATCTTGAAGAATCTCAGGGTCCAATATTTGAATCTGAACTGCATCTCGGAGCTGGAACTGCGGGTAGGCGCAGTTCCATTGAGGTTCGCACCGAGATCTATGCCTAAATGGTCCCGGCGCACTCACCCAAGGGCTATAAAAGCGGCGGCAGATATTATTCTATCTAAATATATAACTGCATTGAAATTAAATCTCCGTCCATTTATGTGAAAAGCTTAATTATCATAGCCAGTCATATTTGCGCCCCATTAATAATAGGAGGCGCTTCACCAATATCGCTGGTATTGTTCTGAAACTATATACTTCATGTTTTTGGTTCGCAGAGTCAAGTTAGGGAAGGAGTGCATCAGCAAGGCAACAGCAGTTTAGATAGACACCCGTGCAAGGAAATCCTGATTCATTTGATTGAGCTTGACTGTGTTTTGAATATTTTACGAGCAGTACTTTGGTACTAGCGCTTCGCGGAACACTCGGCATATAATGCATCTATTCATGCCACCACGGAGAAATGCATATATTTTATCGGTTATACGATGAAGTTTTGTTCCAGGGCGTATAAGATTTGAGATACGGCATGATATGCGGATAGTATTGATCCTAAGTATCTACAACATACAAGCAAGTATCTAGTTGAAGGACGACACGCTCGGTCCCTTGTTTCCGTCGGAATTGTCCTCAGCAGAACCTATTATTGTGTCAGACCTTTTGTTGAGACCATTTCTGCCTCAGGTTGCTCCCTACCTTGTTTGATCTTCCTTGCCAGCGAACACAAGACAACTCACGCTTCCCTTTCTCTCTCCTTTGTCTCCTTTGTAAAACAAGCTATAGATGAAAGAGCCAAAAGATGCACCTATTCATTGATATCACGACAGAAAGAACAAAGAGAAGTCCCAGCTAATGAAACACAGATTGTGTTAGGTCCCTGTGGCATCTCTTAAAGCCCATTAAACCTGCTCAGCATGGAGAGGCCAACACTTTGGAATTATTCATACGACCCTGCAATTACTGAGGCTATTTCATGATTAACAGTTTTCTTGCACCAAAGTTACACCGACATCATCGCAGAGGCCTCAACTTCTGCATTCAAATTTTGGCAAGAACCCCTTATCACCAAGTCCACCGCCAGATTCCACCATGTCTAAGCATCCAAGCCCCAGCACCTTCAGGCTGGGCGATTTACCCAGGGAATTAGTTTTGGCGATTGCAAATGCGGCGCCTATCCGGGACCGCTGTATTCTTCACCAAACCTGCAAGCATTTACACTCACTCCTCGCAGATAGTGTCACAGAGGAGAGACGACTGACTGCGCAAGTCCTACCCTCCAAGCAAGAATACGAGGAACATGACTGGGAATGGAGTTCTCCAAATGCATTTCAAGTACCGCAACGCACCCTATGACGACTTTATGTGCTGAACCGATTTGGCTCTGCTTCGTGCCTTTTCCGGCGGCGCCAAGGTCGCTGGCTTCGCTTATTATATCGCCCGTTGGGCTAGCTGGCAAGTCATGCAGGTTTGTATGGACGCAGGCTTGGATTTGAATCAAGCGGCCTCGAACGGGGATACGGTGGCACATGCTCTGGCCGGGCGCAATGATTGCCAGTTCTTTCGGAAGGTGGCACCTCACCTTACAAATGAGACTATGACGAAGGTCTCGATAAGGGGTGAGACTCCGCTGCATGCTGCACTGAGGCAAACAACTCCGGATATTGCCAGGGAATTTATCGAGGCTGGTGCCGATCCCAAGTCCCTAGATAAATCGAGAGATTCTACTCTGCTCACTGCTCTTCAAAATCGCCACTTTGAACTTGCACGCTTGATGCTGAGCAGAAACGCCGAACTTGCCCCAGGGGGTTATATAGGAGGGCGTGAAATTCTGGTGGCAACCTCAGCTTGGGAAGTTGACATTGTTCATACGCTCATTCGCTGTGGTGTGAGGAATATACTGAGACGCTTATGTGCGCCGTTCGGATGGAAGCTTGGAGATCGTGAAGTTGGTTTGCGACGGAGGACCGAAGCTTCCCTTGGCAGGGGCAGGATTTGATTCATCTTGCAGAGGATGCTTCTCCTGGTTTCCGGAGGAGGAGGTCTTTGTGACTTTGCCCACGTGAAGCTATTCAGAGAGTTTCATGCCAGTAGCTAGTTAGATTATCACCTTCGATATATCTTACACATTACACATTGCTTGATTACCTCCTCTTCTCTGTCCCCTAGATCGTATATGTGCATCACGATTGCCCCCTGGGATGAACGATCTGGCATTTATGCCTTTACGGCGACGAAGTATGCCAACCGGTAGCCATTCACCTTCACAATTGAAGTATACAGATACAAGAATAGTCGGCGCTTATGCGGCCTTGTTGGTTGTCTTTCTATACGTATTTCTTACCCTTCTCAAGTTTAGGTACGGCTTTATGTATAACTTTGATACAAGTATTCTATAATTGCTTCGCTTCGCTCCGCAACAAACATACAATCCCAGCAGGTAGTCACCAAATCCTATCCCAAGCATATAGTAGTTTCATTGAATCGGTCAGTCTAAGCACAGCGCCGGGGACGTATCCCCTCAGATCGAAGCCATAGCAAATGCACGAACAATTAAGACGGGGGCAGCGACAAAAGAGGCTGGGTGTTACATGACAAATGAAGAGAAAACAAGCAAAGCTAATAAGCATATTGGGAACAAATAAGAGAAAAGATAAGAAGCCAAGAGAGCGACGAGCCCAGAGGCTGGCGATGTCAGACGCAACCGAAAGACGGTGATGTATGTATACTTTCAGAACATGTCGGCATGGGCTGGCATCGTCGCCGACGTGGCGGGTATGTATGCAGGATAATGTATGTGATGGCTCGTGAAGGGCGTCTCGAGTGGCCGGGGGATTAACCATAGATTTGAATTCAGGACTTGGGCTCTTATTTTTCCGTGTCCTTCTAGTGTGTTCGGAGGAATGTCAATGCACCCTCATAACTGTTCCTTGGCGGAGTAGAGGCCGCCCGGAGTCACATGTTGCTGTTCCGTGTATTCTCCACAGCTGCACCCATAAGAATAGAAGGGAAGATAGAGAAAGAAATTGAGCGACAAGTGGGTATCATAATGAGGCTGTTTTGGAGTGGCTGGAGATTAATGGAGAGTGAGAGGCGCGGACGATGGAAGCGAAAGAAAGTGGTCGAGGAAAATTGTCATTCCAAATTTAGTCCGGGTTGGTAAGCTAGAATGAGATTAGCAAGAGCGTTTCGGACCCAATGTGCTATATTCAACTTACCCGAAGAACGGGACGCGAGTAGTCTTCGTTGTCTTGCAGCGAAACACTGCTGTCCCGATGACCATTCGGGTAGAGGACCGTGTTGGTCTTCATTCGCCGATCGGTAAATGTTGTGCCCGTACGTGAGGGCAGAGATCCGTTATCGCTTCGCGGGAAGAAACCTCCCATGAAACTCGATCCCCTGCTTCTGTCGTCTGCCATGTCTTGGCTTGGGATAGGGCTGACGGAACGAGCGCGTTTGCGGTAGAAGAAAATCAAGAAGATGAGAGCACCAACCAGAGCGAGTCCTCCGAGGACGCCAATCACAACGCCTGCGATGGAACCTCCACTCAATTTCGACTTGCTGGTAGTGGTGGTGCTAGGCGATGCGGAATCAGCGCCAGAAGTTGCACTTGCACCAGAAACGGTGATGGTCTTGACTTGGCCGCCAGAGTTGGTCTGCACTGAGACCGTCGGCAAGGAAGTTGTTGTTTTATCATCCGAGGAAGTTGACTAGGAGAAAAAGTTAGCTAAACGTGCCACTGGTCAAACTGGTTGTGCTGTAGATACAATGGGTGAGGTCGAAGTGGTAGTGGAAGTGGTAGTGGAATCGGAGGCAGTCACAGTGACCGTTACAGGCGGGTCGCTAGTACTCTATCCCCGATATTAGACCCACAAGCGAAGAGAGAGTAAAACACCCAATCAGGCTAGCTAGGCTGGCAGGAGGTTTATCCGTACAAAAATAGGAAACAAGATATGCCCAGTGTGCCCAAGATATGCCCAAAAGAGAAAACAGTGTCAAAACAAAGAGGATTGGCTTACCGAGGTCGTTGATGAGGTAGAGGTTGATGTTGATTTGGTTGAGGTTGAGGTTGACGAGGTAGTTTTCGAAGTTGTTGTACCAGCAGCTGTGCTAGTCGCATCGTTGCCGACAACTTCCACGTAGGCGTACACTCCTTTGGATGTGCTTCCACAACTGTCAGCGGGATAACCCGGGCATGCACCATCACAGTCCGAAGTGTCGTCGGTTAGTGAGGACTTGGCGGGAGCAACGTTCGAGCACCAGCATTTACTCCCTTGGAGGATAGCAAAAGCGTAATCGGTGCAGGTAGTTTCACATAATCCATTCGATTGAAATGTGTTAGAAACTGTGTGCCGAGTCAGCGATGTGGCTAAATCTATATAGAACAATTGCGATCACTAACCTCCCGTGAAAGAAGACCCCGTGTTCTCTGTAGCACAGTAGGCCAGGTCGGATGAGGCCGATACGAATGGCCGAGCCAGAAGAGCAAAAACCGAGACCACTACCGCGACCTTCATGGTGGGTGTGCTCGATCGAGAATTTCCCATCAAGCCGGAGGGTCCGTTGATATCTGTTTATTGTCCCGCGCCCGAGGGGTGAGAGGGTAAGCGACAGTAAGGTCCCAGGCGTCGAGGGAAGATCGAAGTTGTGTGTGTGGGCCGACCGAAGTGAATTGTCGATCACCTAGAGGGTTGAAGAATCTAATATGGCTGAAATGTCGTCTTATTTGTCCCCCACTTTAACGCTGCAAAAGTTGTAGGGTGTCAACACATTTCGACTGCATAACAAAATCACAAGAAAAGAAAGAAACAAAATGAATGGAAGAAAAGACGAAGTCGACAGGGGAGAGAGAGAAAGAGAGAAGAGGAGAAGGGGGATCTCCACAGTCACGGGCTCTCCAGGTACTATCCTGCTATCCTACATTTATCCTCATCGGAGTATGTCGAGTCCCGACGTATCCGGTGGATCCTGATTTCTATTTTCTGGGAATTAGATTTATTAAATGAGATCGATGTCATTTGTGTTGACAGATCATCTGGATCATCTTGACTTAGCGATCGGGTTATGTGTTATGTTGTGCCTATGCCTATATAAACAGCCTTTAAACATAGCCTATAAAAACCCGTTCGATAATCTACGTATAACATACAAGTATACCACAATAACACAGTAAACAACATAGAATCAAGTATTTTATTGCCTTTTTTCCTAATCCGATCCTTCTCCACTGCCATGGCCTGACTGGTAGACCACCGATCGCTATACCAAGGAAACATTCCACCCTGCATACCTTTCTTTTTTCCTTTTTCTATCTATATCACTCCGTATACCCTCCTACGCACAGGCAGTGTGCTTCTATTTATGTCCCGTCTGCCCTTCTTCATATCTCATATCCGAAACACTTATCCAAGGGATCGTCAGTGCATCATGACCCGGTTTGCAGCGTAAGAGTGGACATACGTAATAGAAGTGGAGAGGAAAACTTCGCCGAACAAGAATGTTCCAACTCTGGATTTCTGGCCTGGGTGTATTATTTATAAATAAAGCCAGGGAACCGCCGATATTAATCCAAGCTTGTGGCAATAGCACTGCATTTCCTCCACTCCATCTCTTCAGCTTAGCCACATTGTAACTTAACTTGTACGGAGTTCCTAGTCTAGTGGGACCCGGACCGAGTCCTCAGTACCGAGGGCCTTCCAAGGTACTCCCGTCCTCCGACGGAGTATATCACGATGAAATACGGAGTAGCCACCTGTCAACTTGCAAATCCTTGGTACGGGGTGTCTAGGCCCAAGGTAATACGGAGCACAGGATTCTATATTCTATTCTAGTTATCAGGAATCGTATACGATCCGAATGTTCGCTCTCGCCTTCCATGCCCAACCGCCACAAACGACGATCGACTAGAGAGATCGCTGTGATTTGCCGGATCCAAGCGAACTCGGCTTGGATGAAACAGCGCTAGGATTTACGTGGATTTACCGGCTATTAAGTGCGTTTTCCGGGCGGATTTTCTTTCTAGAACGTGATTAGACTGGCTTGTGCATTCATCCTCCGGTCTAGAACGGAGGACCAAGGATATTTGGATTTGTATAACATCCTAACACAGTAGGACAGCATTGTACACCGTATACTCTACGGACGACGGTCTACGTGTCATCCATGATTTTCCCCTTTTTCAAAGGTTATCTCTCCTTTATCGACTCGTCCAATATGAACTCATCTCCCAAGTGGAGAGTCTCCACTCGGCGTAAAGATGGAAAAATGATACCCATGTGCTAGATACAACTTTTCGATCGATCTAAATTCCAGCAGGTTCATAACTAAATGCTATAACAAACCGAAGGATGTAATAGTCAATCTTCAGTTACACAAATACAACTGCAGTGGTTTAGTTGAATAAAACAGTAGGACAGTGTGTTCCCCGAACGACCCATACAGAATCAATAGTCGCAATAATACCGAGCATCATTGGACGAATATTAATACGCATCTCCGTACTTACGAATATTCCCTGCCAAGGCAAATCCTGAAGTGATGATGTTGTGGCATAATATGGCTGAGACAATCCGCCACAACGCGCGGGAAGTCCGACGTAATCTCCCGGCTTTCGGGTGCCGCGTAGTTAGGGTTACTCGACCAGTCTCTCTCTGCTCCGTACCCAGGTGGTCTTTGGGCAAGGTCTCGACTTCAACATGTGGCGAGGCTCAGGGCTAAGTCAATAATTATTGCTATTGTGCCTGCTGGCTTGCAGGTGGCGTCCAGGATCTGAAACAAGCCTACGGAGTACAGCGGTGATCACTTCCTGCTGCAGGTATCCGACCATACAATATTGAGTACTACAACATTGCATGTCTGTCAAGTCAGTTAGGTATAGGACCCCAGATTCAATCATCATATTCATATTACGGTCTCAAGATACATCCTGCATTGAATAAGAATATGAATTCAACTAGTCTGCTGTTGTACATGAAATTTGTTGGGCACGCTCCCACCTTAACTGTCGCGACTGAAGTCAAGAGATAGATGGCCAGTTCCGGAAATCACATCAATCATCACGCTGGCTTCCGAATCTCCTGAATCCGCCGAACCCGCCGACTCGGAATCCTTCGAAGTCTGGCTAACACTGCGCAAGCCGTTGGTGTCGGACCCTGGCAGAGCGCCAATCATCGCTTCATCCATCATGGATTCATCGATATCCTCGACAAACTCTGGCTCGGGAGGTGAAAGAGAAGATTTGACCCAAGCCAGAATGTGGGAGCTTGGAGAAGAACGCAGAGGATCACGCTCCGGTCGGTTGCGTTGCTCTGACTCGGGCGGGGAACCAGATGAAAGTGAAGATTTAACCCAGGCCAGTATGTGGGCGCTGGGAGGGTTGGCATGCAGAGGGTGATACTCCGGTCGGCCGCGGTGCTCCGGTTGTGTAGTCGTCGTGTCTGATCTAACGCTGTCCTCTGATCTGACGCTGTCTTCATCATCATCAGCATCGAAGAAACTAGCCACGGCGGATAAGGAGGTCAGTCGGGTGAAATGCCACTGCATGTCCAGCAAGTCGAAACTCGGAAGCGGTCGAAGGACGGGGTCGTCCGTTGTCATTCTAAATCGGTAGCCGGACTCAATGGCACGATATGTTGGTTCACCTCGCTTTCCTACCGCCACGATCAATCGATCCACGCTGTTGACGTTCTTGCTAGATATAGGCTCCTTGGACACATCAACCACGTCGTAAAGCTTGTGGTCTGGCTTTGGTTGCCAATAGAACTCGATTTCCATTTCAGTCATATCCTCCGAGACCCAGACGGGACGCAGAGCGAACAATCCACTCGACCATGCAGACCGAAGGTCTCTGCGAAGGCAGATCAGATTGGAGCAATCATTGACAGGACTGTCGGGCTGAGTTGGGTCACTGAAGACGGCTCGTTTCCACCTTTCAGTTGTACTCTTTCCCCAGAACACATCTGCAAACCTCCAAAGGCTAGGAGAATCCGGGTCATCCTGCAAGCGGGAGCTGGCTGCACTAGCTGGGAAGATCGGGGTGGTTTGGTAGAGCTTGCGGGTGCCTGTGATGACACACTTGTATCCATCTCGCTCTCGGGCGGCATAGATTGCAACTGGGGAAGCACGTGGCCGCGAACTGAAACTCGAACCCGAAGTCGGGGTTGAGTATGCTGATTCGAGCTGTTGGGCGGCAGATGGAGTTGCCGTCCATTTGAATGGGAGAGCACAAATGAGATCAGAAACGGTATGCATGAGTTTCATTGACAAGTTGGCGAGCTGTACGATGTACTCAAGCTTCTCGATATCGCACACCTGGAGAACGGCCCAGAATGGGGAGGGGACTTGTTGTTCGAAAAGAGCTCTGTTGAGTTGGCGAAGAAGGATCTTCCGCTGGGGAGACTGGATATTGAAACGCTCATCATTAACGCGGACAACAGTAGCTGAACGATCTAATTCGGTGGTGGACGCGTTTGACATGTTGACCCACGTGGAGGCAATCCTGCATCAAAGACGGTGAATTGGGAATCCGATTTGCACGCGCGTGCTCGGTTTCTGAACGAGACAGAAAGCTTTGTGTTGATTTCAAGCAATTGATATCCTTCAGGTATATCCCACGCGTTCTATTCACATTCAGAAGTAACATATGGACGACACCGTTCTTGAAGTTAGGATATCTCACTGCGTGTGAAGAGGGAACGCGTGAGAGAGAGAGGGTATGTGAAGGAGGAGTGTGAAGGAGGGGGGGAAGCTTTGTTTTGATCTCAAACGATTAATGTTCTTCAGGTGTGGCCTTCTCATTCTGTTTATACTCGGGAAGGAACATCATACATGTGGGCTATATCGGTCTTAAATATAGGGTATAGCACTGGGCGTGAACGAGAGAAGAAGATGTTTCTTGATCTCAAGCGATTATTATATCTTTTATACATAGCCCGCGCGTTCTATTCATATAAAAGGAACATGTGGACGACATCGTTCTTGAATTGAGGACATCTCGCGATACATACAAGCCGTCAACGGCACCTTCCAACTTTAATGCAAAAATTCATCATAAATCATAGGCCGTAAACATCATATTCTTAGGAAAATTACCGGGAATTCATCCATTCTCGATCTCGAATATCTCGCATGCGCTTCTCAATCAACCATGCCCTCGGAGGCATCCCCACACGAGGTCTAAGACGAGGTCTGATATCAGGCACAGAGCGCTCCCGCTGGATGTCATGGATCCGTCTACGACGAGCGCTTCGAATCTCGTCAGACAATTCAACAAGCTCATCTATGTCCTCCTGTGGCCAAAAGTCAGAATCCAAGAAAAGTCGTCTGTTCGGATGATACATACCGGCTTGAGGTACGAGAAGATGTAGTAGCATGTCCTCGTCTCTTCATACTCGAATCCCAGCTGCTCAATAGCTTCCCTCACTACCAATCTCTTCGCTATTTCGGTCCACCGATCGTTTGGCGATTCATCCGCGCCCGTGACCTGCTGCGCAATCCGGCCCGTTTCCACTTCTTCCAGTGGCACATGTCGGGGTTTGACTTCAACAACGTCCAGAGCTCCGCTCATAATGGCTTCGTCTTGAGATGAAGCATGCACCACAGACCAGCCATCCGTGTTTGTAGGGCCTTCGTCTACTACGCGCGTGCTCTCAATCACGATGTCCTTTTCCATTTCACGCATGGAAGGAGCCCTTATTTCGTGGCTGTGAGCTATATCGCTATCGTCTTCTAGCGGCACAGGTCGACGATGAAGTGAAATTGTTTCCCGCTCCCACGGATCGTTGAAACCAAGAGATGGCCCGCTAGTTGGAGATATTGAGTCTTCCGGAGCGAGAGAGTCTTCACTGTCACTGCGTGTGAGGATTATTTCTTCCTCTGACATTCGCCCGCCTCTCCGAGATCGTAGTTTCATACGAGGTGTATGGACTTGAAGCGGCGACTGGCGTGATGGGATGTCCGATTTCCGAATACTGATCTCTTCCTCTACCTCTTCATCCAGTGGAATCCGTCGCCTACCGTTTCGCCGAAGACCTCTCAATCCTCTTAATTCGGGCTCGGGACCCGAAGGTACACTGCGTCTTGTTTCACGTCGTTCGCGTATGACGATTTTCTCCTCGTCATCACTGTCGTCCAGTCGTGGCCCCTTGTCCTTCCGCCGGATGACCACATCCTCGTCAATTTCTCGATCTGAAAAATCGACTGGTCCTCGGCGTCGCTTTGGGGGTGCATCGTCAAGGACGACCTCTTCCACCTGGACCGTTTGGGGAGGCGGAGGCCGTGGCCGTGGCCGTCGTCGGTGGTATGGTTCTTCTTCCTCGAACTCCAGTATCCTTTCGCGCGATCGCACGTCGATTTCACTTTCCCATCCGCGATCTAGCGGGGGCTCTTCCCTTTCTTTTCGTCGGATGACCACTTCCTCTTCCTCGAATTCGCGCTCGGGGCGACGTCTTCTTCCTCTATGTTTCCCCCGCTCCTCAACTGACAGATCCTCTTCGAATTCGCCTTCTGGACGTCGCCTGTGGTGGCGCACTTCTTTCTCCTCAACGAGAAGATCGTCCTCAGACATTCGTTCTGGGTGACGCCGGCTCCCCCTGCGTATTTCTCTGTCTTCAATGATCAGATCATCCTCTTCAGATTCCCGAGAACGGTGCCTGCTCGCTCGGCGTCTTGGCCGTTCGCCGATGATTTCCTCATCCTCTTCGAATATCGGCTCTGAACGACGCCTCCTACCACCACCTCTTTCCCTTTCTCTCTCCTCGATGACAAGATCATCTTCAACTTCTCGCTCTCGCCTGGGACGATGCGTCCTCTCTGGACGCCTTTCCCTCTCCTCAAAAATAAAGTCCTCGTCAACTTCGCGCGGATGGCGTCTACTGTCCCGGCGTGTCTCTCGTGTCTCAAAAATCAGATCCTCGTCGTCTTCATCACGAAAATGAGGTCGACGACGGGACGCAGATGGCCGCACGGAGACATCGTCGCGGTCAGGTGAGACAATATCGACCTCCTCCTTTGTCCGCTTGCGAACCACATCATCCCGTGCTCGCGGCGGTGCAAAGCTTTCTTCCATGAAGTCTCGCCTGGGACGTTCTCGGATGTGCATACGCTCCATATCCTCAGCTAGCGGCTCGGACCTTCGACGACGAAATTCCACATCTTCATAGTCGCGATCTCGTCGGCGCGGCCGGCGATCTCTCTCTCGTTCGACTTCATAGAAGTCATCTTCCTCGTCGTAGTCGCGGGGTGGTGTTCGGCGGGGCATTGTGGGACTGTGCGAGTGATCACCGCATTGGATTTGGTGTAGCTACGGTCGGAAACTCGACCACGATGGAGAAGACTCTTAGTTCAAGCTCGCAGGAGCCTGTCGAAGGGTTCAGTTGAAGGCAAGAGGTAAATTCAGTTGGTGACTGGTGGGGCTTGCAAAGGAAGGTGGGCTGTGCTCTAGTCAAGATCACGCAGTTGAGCGGCTAATGATACTAGTACGACAAGCAATATAGGTAGACGAGAACCAACTGATAGTACTCCGTACACACTCATGAAACGTGAACTGTTTTGAAGAAGGCTGACAACCCTGGAAAAAGAAAAGTGGTCATCGACCCCGCGGCTGATGTCACTAGGGCGGTTGCAAGATATGTAGCTAAACATCATTCCCATACAGATCTTCCAAAGGTTTCCCGTTTCCATTGTTTATTCCCCAGGTCTTCCAGTCTCCGGCCCTACCCCAGAATATTAGCTAATCCTGCCAGAACCTTGGTTCTCTTCTCTCAAACTGCCATTTTGGGATTCAGAAATGTACTCGGTGGAGTCTCATATGCTTAGCGTCATCGAAGTCCTTAGAGGCCCAAAGCTTGCCTGACGTGGGTTGTTGGGTGCTTCTGCTCAAGGCCACCTCCACCTGGTATACACCGACTTTAGCATCCGATCCACTTCCAGGCACTCACAGGCTACAGCCCAGGGATATTCAAGATATCTCAGGGTGTCTTCTGTTGACACTGTGAAATTCTGAGATAGAAGAATAGTCGGTGAGAACGTCATGATCTTTTTTTAATTAAATGATGTATTTTTTATGGATATGTTCTCCTCAGGTACACGGCGGAAAAGGCGGGAAAGGGCTTAATTGTGAATCGACATTTCAATGTATAACTTTGGATTAGTCCGCCCAATCAGGCGATGGCATAAATTTGTGGCATTGGGTATATCGTAGCTAGTTATGCCAAGTAAAAGCAGATTATGAAAAACATGGTAAAAAAACAAGACATACAACATAGGCTCATAGGTCACTGGAAAGCAAGTCGCATCTGCCCCTTTTCGGGCTTACCCCGACTCCCTCCACCTCTTCCACGAGAACTTGTACCGCGTGCACTACTTTTCGTAGGCGGTGGCGGCTGTGAAACCTTGGCGTCCTCTCTGTCCTGGCTTGCAAGGTCCTTGGCAAAGTGCCAATCATCGTGTTCTTCTTTTTCATACTCGAACATCGACTTGGAGCACCGTGGACATACGAACCGGGGAATTCCGCTGGGTTCGGGGTCTGTTTCAGCGGGTTCTTGGGGGCTAGCTGGCTCGTCTGTGGCAGGAGTTTCAAGATGTGATGGGATCCTAAAGAAACTTTTGATCTTACCCCCGTCACTTTCAAGCTTTCGTCGTTTCTCAGTAGGGGCTTGTTCGCTGGGGGAATTATCGGTATCTCGAGGTCTTGAAGAATGGCTTAAAGCTTTCGCTTGATCACCGCGAATCAAGAAGCCCTCGATAGCCTTGTTGTTGGTCACGCCGTCTTCGAAGCCTGAGACACTCAACGACAGGTTCGAACAGGGCCATGCCTGTCCGTCAGCCACAACTTGACGAAGCAAAGTATTCGCCAGATCGTAGAGAAGATTCTCATTAATTGTATTGGAGCCTGGGATTGGAATTTGGCGAGAACGAGATTGCGTAGTTCGATGGTGTATTGTGATCACTTTTGGACGACGTCTATTTTCAAGTACGCCGTCTTCCACAAGCCGGCCATATATATCGGCTGCGAAGATACGAAGCCACTTCTCAGCTTGATCAGGTGAGTTGATGCTCGGTCGGAAAGATTTCGCGGATAGCATAGATTTAATTTGGGTTCGGGGATTGACCTCGCTGCGATCATCCCCGCGGATGATCCCGTAAAGCCAGGATGCCGTGTGGTCAGCCAGCTTAGTGCGCAACTGCTCAAGCGGTACATTAAGAAGCTCGCTGACTTTCTCCGTCCCAAACGCGGCAGTTATCTGATCGCCGAGTTTACCACCCAGCATTCTGATCTGGGTAAATTTATAACCATTTAGGAAATTCTGCACCGCCCGATTCCGCACAACGGTTTGTAGGTTGGGCTTGTTGCACGCACTCCCTAGTTTTGCGATCATTTTATTGCGGCCAAGCCCGGCCGAACAAGTGTAACTGAGCTTCTCCCAAACTGCGTTCCGCACCCATCGTACAATCTCGGATCCTATCAGCATGACAACGTCATCCCAGTCTGGATCATCTTCCTCTGTTTCTTGTTGATCGAGGTCCACTAAGCAGTCGGTGTCCCACTGCAAGGCTGTGATCGGCGGTATAGGTAGTTGTGCATCCCGGTTCTCGTCTTGTATTCCCATCCGAAGTTCTGGATATCTCCGAAGAAGTGCCCTATATATCAATGGAGACAAATCAATGAATACTTCATCGATGCTGGCTTTCTCCAGCCCAGCCGAAATCGGATTCTGAGTTTCGGGTTCCATATCATCGACACTCCATGTAGCCAGAGCCTCCTTCATCGTCTGGAGGATCTTTCGCGATTGTGCTCGGTACGGATCCAGCGACACCTTGTCCGTGCTTATATTTTTGAACGAATCATCCCGATATGCCCACCGGCCCCCCTCTCCCTCTCGAAAAGTCGCGACATGCTGTAAGACGAGGTCTGGACAAAGTTTCCTGGCCTCCGCAACATTGATCAATCGACTGATTCCGAACGGTCGCGCGGCGTAATTGATGGCAATCAAAGAGTCCCATTGCCGCACTGCCAATGGTGTCTCCCGCGGAGTCCCCAGGCGGACCATCTCACATTGTGCATAGAAGGCATCGAGATCGATATGCGCGATCACGCGCAGAGGGGTTGCCGTGGATCCCTGTCGTAACAATTGTAATTGTCGATAGGTAAACCGGGAGAGCTTCAAGGGATCGGACGACTCGGTAGGTTCGGACATGCTCGCACATGCGTCATGACGGTAAAATTAGACCATGGGGTTGTCGGTCAGAGCTTGGAATTTGATGCTCTCAACTTGGGACAAGAGCCCAAAATGGACTAGTGCTTGCACGTGCCCCGAGGTTCTCTTCTACAGACTACAACACACAGCAGCCCTAGAGGGTTGTAAGTTGAGTCATACATTGTTTTGTGTTAGTTATTTAGGTGGCCGCTTGTGGATGATATTAATTACTTGGAAACTTTCGTCATATGAGACCCCTCTCCTCTATGTTTAAGCGCGCCATTTAACCTTTTCCTACCATAAAACACTTCCAACATACCGTATAAGTCTGTCCCATCACCTTCAGGCTGTAACACAGTGTGCTTTGTATACTGCCCATAGTCCTCTATTTGCTGCTCGCGTATACTACATCCACGACTTGACCAGCCAAACCAGCCAGCATAGCGATGGATATCACCAGATACATGGTGGATGCAGCTGGCATTCAGGCGTTGTCTCGTCATCAAATTGCCACATTTTTCGATAGAAACAAGCCTATCACGCAGGAGAGCTGCGATGAGACTGCTGCTCTTATTACCAGAGGTGGACCAGTTGTTCCCACGCCGGCACAAGGTATGACGAGCTATACAGTTATTGCCGGTATCAACCCTAAAGCTATTCAATTCTGCGCCCCTGAAGCCGCTCTTGATATGAAGGTCATGGCACTAGCGAAAAGCATGTATAAAGATTTCGCCCCTGGCTGTGAGAAACGCGACTCGTTGGGCCCTCTTATCGTGTATGAAATGGATGTTGTAGAAGGGGTCGCTTTCTCTATAGCCCAACGCGATATTTGCGCGATCAACAAATACAGCCTTCTTGAGAGGACTGTGCAGGATCTTGCAAAGTAAGTGTTCTTGAATACACTATATACGACAGACACCTCTAACTTTCTAGATTTTTCGCGTTGAGCTGGACTAGTGGAATCGATATGACGCTATGGATAGACACAGCCGTTACTTCTGTAGAGCTTTCCCAGAGGTTAGGGACTCCCCAATGCTCTTGAGCGCTTCGTGCCAAGCTGACTGAAGTCCGTGAGCAAGGCTGGAGAATCTTGCTGATGCTCTTCCCGAGCGCTTTCGTGCTAAGCTGATCGAAGTCCGCGATCAACTACCACTGCTCTTCGCCCTAGACTATCCGCAGGTACTAAACCATGCTGACCTATGGGAAATGAATATCCATGTCAACGCGAGTACAGGAGGTATCGCCGGTATAGTCGACTGGCATGATGCTACCGTTGGCCCTTTTGGATTGTCATTTTGGGGCCTTGAGACCCTGCTAGGAACCTTTGTGCAGATGGCTGGCACTTTCATGCCCGTCACCTCGAATTACGGAGGGTATTTTGGGAGACCCTCTATGCTACCGCAGGCATTGTCACGGAGTCTCAAAAGCGGGCAGTCAAGGTTGGAAGGATCGTTGGCATCTTCCAGGCGTACAGTCTCAGAAAAGGGGTACCCGTGGAGGCAGGAGACCTGAGTCTTTCGGTTCTTGAGGAAGTCTTGTCCGTACCTGAATGTAACTGAAAGCTGAGCACCAACAAGCGGTCGAGGGCGGCAGATCTATGATTGTGTACGATTACTAATCATGGTCTGCTGAACTCAGGGGGCAACTGCATCTTCAGGTCAATTTATTACTCCGTACAACAACGGGGTACATCTTACATACCAAGAGTTATTTTAATCTTCTTCAACAACATAAACATGTCCAAGACAGCCGCAATTCCTTCTATATCCACAGGTACTCCGTATTCAGGGACGTCCAAATGACCCATCTCTTGGTGCCTGCTTATTTTTCATCACACCCACTCCTGCACAGTCAGATGTTGTGTTCTCGTGCAGATTTTTCCGATGTTGTAACTCGTCCACGAAAGTCTCGAACCTGAAGAAAAAACAAACGAGACAGGGTGATCTCCGATCTGTGCGATCCGGCTGACATTGGCGGGTTGTGAGTGGACCAGAAGCTCGGAGCCTTCGCGCAGCTGCCCAAAGCCACGCATTCCTGCCCAACGGCAATCTCGTGTGGACATCGGCCACCAGCTTTCGGTGGCAAGTTCGCAGGTCGCCACCGTCTTTTTGTCAACAGTTGGCTGTCATGCTCCCTTTGCAGATGGTGTGCGAGGGATCAATCACAATTGAGTCTGATGATTTGCCGCCTCAACACTGCCATCTTACCATCGTACATATGAACATCTGACAGCTTTTATGATCTCATTTCTTCTCAGCAACCCTGCTTGACCGCTGCTGAAGGCTAAAGATCCACCGGTGGAGTCTTGTAGAGTTTCGATATTCATCCGGTCCAGGGGCACAGACTAGGGAGCAATCCAAGCTGGTTGAATATGGGGGATCGGCCCTTAATTTTTCGTCCCAACTAAAATTGAGTGAAACCCAAGAGCAGCCCTTTTAGGGTCTAGTTTTAGGGTACAAGGGACGTCTCTAGGGATCCACTCCGTATAGCTGTGTACATTCACACTTTCGGGGGTGTTGATCAGGGAAGTATATAGTTATAGATACACAGGTATATGACACCTGGTACGAAGTCCTACCTTGGCCATAAATGATACCAATTAAAATACTCAAGCGGCTACAGACATAGGGTTGCACATTAGTCTAATCCACATTTGACCTTGCATGCTTTTTGCCTTGATCTCAGTGGGGAGTCGTGGCACCAGCCCAAGACGGCCCAACCGCCCTGGCCCTTTGATGTCCACTTTACCTTCCCCCCCCTCTTCTTTCTTCCCCTTCTCTCCCTCTCCCTCGTCTTTCTTCCCCTTCTCTCCCTCTCCCTCGTCTTTCTCTCCCTTCTCCCCATATTCCCCTGGCTTCTCTTGCCACAACTATTCTTTTTCCCAATATCTAGTTCATCCCGAACAGATTACAGATATCCTAGGACCCCGTCAGCCGTGTTTCTCTTTCTCCTAATTGACCCTGACAACCCATCCTCTCCCTTCCAACCTCGTGTCGCTATCACCATCTTTTTTGAGGCCTTCTCAATTTCCCAGGATAATTGCTACCAGTGGACAACCAGGATATCTTCCCAGGATTAACCGGACTTTCCCACGGACTGTTATTCGCGACCAGGATCAATTTTTTTCTGGCCACTTCCCAAGGATCATATCTCGTTTTCTGCTTGCCCTGGAAGCGAGGAAAGAAACCATTCAAGTCGTTGATTGTCGGCTCTGGAACCTGCTCGATAGAATTTGTACATCCTACAATAAAAACGGACTCACCACCATCCATCAACTTTCCCGGGACTCTCAAACCATCTTCCAGACTCCGGACTTCCTCTTCTCTGGCCCTTTGGATCCGAGGACTTTAAATTTATAAACCGGATATTCCTCCCTCGGAATACATTATGACAGGCCGCTATGAAGGACGCCCGGAGCGTCAGAATGAATATTTCATCCCCGGTGAAGGAATCAGCCGAGAAGTTATTCAAGCAGATATTTGCCGCTACCTTGGAAACGATGCCCTCGTGAGACCTGGCAACCACAATGTGCGTCCTCCGCTCTTGCCCCGATGACCCTCAAGGCCGTTTTGACTGACCATGAACAGGGCCGCCCAGGATTCTTTATCCGTGCCTATCGGAATCTCACCTCTGTAAGTGACTATGGACAAGCGACAGCAAGCGGGAGAAGTGAAGATGGCATTCTAACCACACATCGAATACAGGAGATGATTACTGATCTGAAGGCTGACTCCGCTCGCTGGGAGGCGGATGTCTCACGTCGGGCTGACCTAGGCTACCCGCGTGGGAATTACATTCAAGACACGAACGTTTCCCATGCACCTAACACCGCTCCAGTGAACTATGCCCCTGCGCCCGTTCATGAGACTCGCCAGTCACAGGGCCCGTCCCCCACGCCCTTTACTGCAGCACCCGTTCAGCAATACATGGATCCCTACTCCCAGTCCTACAGTGGATCCCAGAATACCCCTTACTCCAACCCTCCATCATACACATCCGCCACTCACTCGCCATATGCATCAGGTACAGCTCCGTACCCCCCGCCTCAGGTTTCCTACTCTGGTTCCAACCAGCCCATTGTGACGTCTGCGGACATGCACCCTCAATCGTATACATATGCCCCCACGGGCTATGGTTACGACAATGGCCGAAGCAATGCTCCACGATACTCGGGACCTGGATATGATGCCGAACAGGAGTACTCTACTGTAACGTCTGGGATGTCCTATCCTACCACAACTGCCCCGGATCCCCGGATAGGAATGGAGCCCAGATACACTCCGGAATATGAGCGCAGGCCACAAGCAACCAGAGACAACCCCCACCGTCGGCGGTAAACAAGAATGACCACCCCAAGGGGTTTCCTGCATGATTTGTCCTTTCTCTCCACCCACACTGTGGTCTACTTGATGCTTTCTTCCGGGATATCTCCAAAATACCCCTAGGAATAATGTTGATGTCTGTGAAAATCTCCTGGACAATCTTCACGCCTTTCTTCTCTCTCTTGGCCACAATTCTCATATTCCCAATTTGTCTCCAGTCAGGGGAACTTTCCACCTCCCGTTGAATATGAATCTCACTTTATTTTTTATACCATGGACTTCACTGGAATTGAACCCATTGCTCTGTGGCAGGAGCTTGGACTTCCCATGGACCTTCTTGATTTGATTTCTCTCATGCTTTTCTGCAACTGGCCAGCCAGGAGTAAGAGTGATGTGTCTTGATTGCGTTTACGAAAAGGTGGCCCGGACTTGAGCGTTTTGTTTGTTTCTCTGGTCTCACGGATTCCGGGAATACCCACCTCACAATAATGTGATACTTTTCGTTGGTTTAACGGTGTATAGGGATTTGTGTGTTCTTAGCAACTTTTCTTATTGTTTGTCTTTCCCTTGAAAGGAGGGGAGTCATCGTGTTCTATTTTTTTTTTTTTCCTTGGTTTGCGAAAGCGATGTGCTTGGATAAACTAAGGCCGGTGACCTACATGTAGATATGAGCATTTGCGGCGTTGGTCCTTCTGTGATTGACGTTTTGATGTGCGAGTTCTTGGAGATTGACTCCATGATCTTAATGAATCTCTTTCTCTGCATACTCTTACCTCGGAGTAATCAAGATGTCATCTAAACAAGAATAGTAGGCCGCTTATGCGGTCTTGTCATTTTGGTAGTCTTTTCAGTAGTCTTTCCGATGGTCTTAACGTATTTTTTATGTATCTTCTCCTTGGGTACACGGCGGAAAAGGCGGGAAAGGGCTTAATTACTTCCTTGTGTACAGCCTTGGATTGCTGACTTTTTTGTCCGACCTGAGGCTGCAGCTTCGGAGTAAGATCCAAATTCTGCAATTGATCAGGTATTACAGATACTAAATGGCGAGCAGCCTGTCTCCTTTGTGGGGAGCCATATCGGCTGTTCGTGCGCAAGAATGCAATTATTCCTAAGATATCCCATACTTGAAACCTAGAAAGCGACTTGATGTTGATTATTGCACAAAACATAGTACATACACTGTAGCGCCGAGCTCGACCTTCGGCGTATGCGCAACAAATATTGGTATCAAAGCATGTTGACGGCCAGGAGAAGTTGCCCCGGAACAATTGCCCACACTGATGCGATGGGACTTGTTCATCAGTCCAGTGGCACAGCCAACTCATCTCCCGCCATCCGCTGAATTTATTCCTCCCAGGCTCGGACAATACACGAAATTCTCTCTAACTTGACATTTTCGTAGTTCCGAACCCGTTTATTCGTCATCGTAGCCCTTGGGGATCACCCGCGGACCCTGCGGAACTGTACGTAGTGAAGATAATGGTCAGGGTAAATTACTCAATATGGGTTTGGTGCTTATGCACCGATTTGTAGGAAGTGAATGGGTTCATACTGGGATATGTCAGAGGAATAGGCTCGGGGTCGACGTCACCGAGGGCGTGGCGGATGGGAGGAATAGTCGCCAGCGAGATGGGACCCATGACGCCGATGCACAGAGCGGCGAGGATAGCTGGCTTCTCGTGCGCAGCCCAGCGGATATAGCGGAGGGGGTCGACCAGAACAGAGGGGCAGACATGGCTGTAGGAGGAGGTCGTTGACGACCGGTCGGGGTTTTGCGATGTGGGTGGGAGGGCAATGCCTGGATAATAGAATAAAACCGTTCAAGCGCGCGCGATTGAACAGATACACCGGTCCCACTGAGTGGTTGTTGAGTGGCTGGGATCAGAGAAGCAAAATTGAAGCCGGAGGGACGAGGTGAAGTCGAAGTTCGGAGATGCGGGCCCAGCGCTCTCGGGTCTTGGCACTCGTCCATTAAACACGTCGCCCTTTCTATGTATACAACTTGGATCTTCAACCACCTTTCTTTACTTCCTTCTTTTTGATCCTTCCGCTCCGCTGCGCGGGATTTGTTCAAAATGAGGTGGTGTCTTGCGTTGCTTATTTGTTGCTTCTTGGCTGCGGTAAATGCGCTGAGTAGCTCCGGCAGTCGCCTGTTGGCTATTTTGGAAGATACAGAACAGAAGGACCTGTACTCCACGTTGTGGGCAGACCTAGAAGGTAATTACTCTGACTCAATTTATCGATTATTTGCTAACTCTCGGACTCCAGCACGAGGATACGATGTCTCAATCGAATCTTCCAAGAGTGAACAGCTTGCCTTGTTCAAGCTTGGCGAAAGAGCTTACGACCACCTTCTAATCTTCCCTCCCAAGTCAAAAGGTGCGCAAACCCGATTATTTGATTCAATGTCTAGTCAATTGACCTAAGAATACAGGCCTCGGCCCCTCCTTGACCCCCAAACACATCGTCGACTTTATGAACAAGGATGGAAACATCCTCCTCGCCCTTTCTGGCAAGTCTGCCACCTCTAGCGCCATCAGCTCCCTTCTCCTTGAACTCGATATTCACCTATCCAATGATCGCTCACAAGTTGTTGTCGACCACTTCAACTATGACACCCTCTCGGCCGCTGAGAAACATGACGTCCTTGTCCTCCAGCGCCCTGGACCCCTCCGTTCTGACGTCAAGGCCTTCTTTGATGGTGAAGGTGTTCTTGCCCTCCCTCGAGTTGCTCCTCAGACTCTCGGTGACAGCGCCCTGCTCTCTCCGATTCTCAAGGCCCCCGCCACTGCCTACAGCTACAACCCCAAGGAGGGCACGCCCGCGCCGGAGGACATCCTGGCTACCGGGTCGCAGCTGAACATCATTTCCGCTATGCAGGCACGCAACTCTGCCCGCTTCACTGTTCTTGGATCAGTGGAGTCGCTGGAGGACAAGTGGTTCTCGGCCTCCGTCAAGACGCCCAGCGGCAAGAAGACACCCACTGTGAACCGCGAGTTCGCCAAGCAGTTGACTGCTTGGGCTTTCAAGGAGACTGGTGTCCTGAAGGTTGACAAGGTCGAGCATCGCCTTGTCACTGAGGGCGCAGAGTTGAACCCCTCGATCTACCGGATCAAGAACGAGACTGTATGTGAAACAATATATTGTCCTTCTCTTCCAAGCTAACCATGAGTCTTTGCCTGCAGATTTACAGCATTGAGATTTCCGAGTATGTCTACGACAAGTGGGTTCCCTTCGAGCTACCTGGCGACGACGCGCTCCAGCTCGAGTTCACCATGCTCTCGCCCTTCCACCGCCTGAACCTCGAACCGGTCGAGCGCACCGATACCAGCACTGTGTTCAGCACTCAGTTCGTGACTCCCGATCAACACGGAATCTTCTCCTTCCGCGTCAACTACAAGCGTCCCTTCTTGACCGCCATCGAGGAGAAGCTTGAGGTTACCAACCGCCACTTCGCACACGACGAGTACCCGCGCAGCTGGGCTATTACCGGCGGCTGGGTATGGATTGCCGGTCTTTGGTCGGTGATTGGAGGATTCTTGGCTTTCGTGGTTGTCTGGCTCTACTCTGCCCCTGTGGCTGATAAGCTCAAGAAGACTCAGTAGATTTATATTTATTGGACTGTCCATGATTTCAATTTTCTTGCATGATTCTGATCTCCCGAATGAACACATTAGGTCCAAAGATGACCAATTCTCAATGATAGATATTCTCTTTGCCTTCCTTTTCCTTCCACCTCCCTGCAGTTGGAAGCCTACAGCTGTCAAGCTTTACATGTAGAGTCCAGGCTATATCAACCCCGTGAAACGGTAGATGTCCGCTAAAACGACACTATTGACCGCAATTGGCCTCTTGCATGAAAAGAGGGCAGGAGTCTGATAGGACGTGAATTAGCCTAAAGAATACAGGCAACGGGTGAGATTGACTAACTACATGTTTCATATTCCTCTTGAAGCCGGTTTGACAGCCGTTGGTCCCTAATATCCACAGCGGGCCATTCAGTCCATCCTAAACAGGTCTAATGAGGATACTAGCTTGCCCGAAGCAGCAGCAATGCTCCTCGCTTCTGTATAACGGCTCAAGGACTGGAGAATAGCCTGGATTCTCATATCTTCTCTCCCATCGAACGTTGTTGCCCCCCTGTATATAAACTGGAAATGGAAATGGATAAACCGACTTTCGTCTTCTCGCTCGGTGCTTGGGTTACTCCCATCGTCTTCGACGCCGTGCATGACCGTCTAAACACCCTCGGTTATCCTTCTGAGTGCCCCGCGCATCCCTCTATCGGCGCTGAGCCTCCTTCTTTGACACTAGAAGACGACGTTGTCTCGCTGCGTAGAGTGTTAACGACTCTAGCAGACGAGGGAAAGGACATTGTTGTTGTGGCACACTCCTACGGGCGCGTTGTGGCCTCCACAGCTAGCGAGGGTCTAGTGAAGCATGTTCGCGCGGAGAGTGGCAAGCCTGGTGGCGTCGTGAAGGTTGTTTACCTGGCTGCCTTTGCGCTGGACAAAGGACAGAGCTTGCTGGGCATGCTGGGAGGAGCCTATTTACCCTGGATGAAGGTCGAGGTTGGTCCATGCATCATATGATCGATAACATTATCAAGATCAAGTTGACCAAGAAAAAGGGCGACTACGTTCACGTCGACGGCATCGACAACGTTGGCTGGCAGGACCTGACCGTCGAGCAGCGGGAGAAATGGAATCGCACGACAGCGCACACCTCACGTGCGGTCTTCTCGGGTGAAGCCACTTATGAGCCGTGGCGCGATATCCCCTGCTCCTACATCATCTGCGAGCAGGATCAGGCCTTGCCGCCAGCGCTCCAGGAGTTCTTCGCCTCGAAAATGGATGCGCCGGGCACTACCTACCGCCTGCCGAGCTCGCATTCCCCGTTCTTGAGTATGCCCGATCGGCTGGTGGATGTTCTGGGAAAGATAGTGAAGGTGTGATATATAATCGATTGGGTATAAGAAGCTCAGTCGATCTTGAATGAGAAAGTGAGTATCAGAGAGGAAATGTATGTTTTAAGCGTAACCGAACTCCGGGCCATGCCAGCATGTAATCAGCGAATCCAAATACCCTTTTTACAGGCCCCTTGTCTTCTCTGGATCCATCTGCACTTCGTCTCCGCTGAGTTCCTTGACCGTCTGGTATGCGGGCGCTCCGGCATATAGCTGTCCCCCAGAACTAGATTGCCCGCCGTCCATCTCCTTGGATACCGAGATAGGCTGGTTGCCGCGGAAGCGCTTGCGCATATCGATCAGACCACGCCTGTTTCGAGAGAAAGGGCAATAATTAGCGAGGGTGTTCGGTTTGTCCATAATGGTTGGCCTGGACTCGGTTCCTGACTCACTTGCACTCGCTGAATCCTTTCCGCAACTGCTGACATTTCACGGGTAACTCCTCGGCGAGAGGAGAGCTGAGACATTCACGGGGAGTATGACGCTGGACCATGATGCAGTCAGACTCCTGGAGGCATTGAGCCAGGGCCCGCCCTAGATAATCGATTGTGGTCAGTTTGCATTATGGTAACGGAGGGTTGCGGTAGAAGGTCTAGCGGGGCTAGGAACATGACCCTTCCTTAAACGTTGTGCGACACGTAGGTGTAACGTACGGATATCATTGCATGAACTAGGCATGTTGACGCGACCTTGTGGACGAATGCGCAACCACAAGTAGCAAGAGAGCGAGGAACGAGACCGTACGGCAAATTTAGGCCGTTAGTTATCTCGACGCTGATTGGCTGATAGATGAATCCCCGGATGAGATAAGCATCGCTATCACATGTTGGTAATGACGTCGGGGCCATTCATCGTTTGTTTGCGCTTTTAAAAGTAGCGTTGCAGCATCTCTGTCTTTCGTGTCTTGAGTATAGAGTATCCAAGTGTACCTGCGTATATGCATAACAATTGTTGTTCATCATGTCGCGAGTTCCGTTCATCGGGAGATTGTTCTGGTAACGAACTCCAGCTTTCACAAAGAACGCAGCAACTGATGTTCACGTCTAGGTATGAGTATATAGCCCTCTTGGGGTCTTTGGTCCTTGTTCTGCTTGAGACAATCATTCATTTGATTACTTGGTGCCTACGTTAGTAAAATCACCGAACATGGATGATACCAATATTAACCCCTAACCAGCCGGCCCTATCATCACATTCTGCTATGGCCAATCCAAGGCGCTTTTCAACCTTTTAATACCTGGTGAATCCCGGCTTAAGCGCACCAAAGAGGAAATATTCGCCACCTCTATTGCAGACGCGTCAGATTTCACCGAGATATGTGCACTCTTCGGGTACCAAGCCGAGGAGCACATTGTACAAACAAGCGATGGTTACCTTCTGGGACTTCATCGGCTGGCATATCGAAAAGGAGAAGAAAAAATGCGCGTCAATAATGGTCCCAATGGGCTTCGGAAGAAAGTCGTCTACCTCCACCACGGCCTGATGATGTCCAGTGAGGTGTGGGTAGCCTTGACAGACGAGCAACGGTGCCTGCCCTTCCAGCTGGTGGAAGGGGGATACGATGTATGGCTGGGGAATAACCGTGGAAATAAATACTCCAAGAAGTCGATCCGATGCTCGCCGAGTTCCAATGAGTTTTGGGATTTCTCTATCGATCAGTTCGCCTTCTCTGATATCCCCAACAGCATCGAGTACATCCTCGAGGTGACCGATCAGCTGTCATTGTCCTATATTGGATTCTCCCAGGGGACAGCGCAGGCATTCGCTACGCTCGCTATTCATCCATTGCTCAACCAGAAGATTGATGTGTTTGTGGCACTTGCGCCGGCCATGGCTCCTTCGGGTCTCCGCAACCGCATTGTTGATTCACTTATGAAAGCCTCTCCGGACTTTTTGTTCCTGTTATTCGGTCGACGCAGCATCCTGTCCTCGACAACCATGTGGCAGACGATACTGTACCCGCCGATCTTCGTGCGCATTATCGACACAGCGCTCCGAGCCCTCTTCAACTGGAAATGCCGCAACATTAGTCAAACACAAAAGCTTGCTGCGTATTTGCATCTATATTCCTTCACCAGCACCAAGTCTGTGGTGCATTGGTTCCAGATCATTCGGAACAAGAATTTCCAGTTCTACGACGATGAACTCTATGCCCCGTTCAGCTTAGCCGCCAGCGAGCGCTTTTACAAGCCGGTTAAATACCCTACTCGCAACATCAAGACGCCCATTGTGCTGCTGTACGGCGACAACGATAGTCTCGTTGATATCGGCGTGATGTTAAAGGGGCTGCCACATGACACTGTCGCCCAGGCGATTCCCACCTACGAGCATCTAGACTTTTTGTGGGCCTCGGACGTTGACCGCCAAGTCTTCGGTTATGTGTTTAATGCGCTCGAGACGTACAGCCGGGGAGGTCCGTTGGCAGGCAGTACGGGGCCTGAGAACCACGGATTTGTCGCCGACGGTCGTGTTTCCAATACGTCGGCTGCCCGAAAAACCCACGTCTTCCCCAATGATGTAGCCTACGGGGCCACACCCTGAACACCGTTACTACATGTACAACATACTAATTTTTCGAGTGGGTTTGTGAGCGGGGTTGTGGCTTGGCGGGTCAATCGCCACGTCCATGGATGTATAGGGGATTCTAGTGCATTTGACCGGTACCGATTCAAGATGTGTGTGGTGTATGGATTGCCACCTATCACGGCTTGGCAGGATGCAGAGTTTTCCAGGAACCCGTCTTAATCTACCGAAGTGGCGTGCAGAGGGTGCGATTCCCGATGTATGTGCCTGTGCCTGATCATGTATGTACCCCGTAGGGTACCCGAGTCGAAAAGTTAATCAAACCATGGAGTGACTCAATTTGGATCCACAGTCTGGCCATGCTGGCACCAACGGAGGACAAAGGAGACTCCGGCGATAATCTACTCTCCCTCCCACCCCGTTTGGATCTAAAATATAAGCTTGTATTAAGTCCCTCTTGGCCCGGAGAATGCCAGAGTCACTTAGATTGATCTAGATTGTAAGCGTTGAAAAAAGATATTCAGGGGCAGGTCCGCGCAAATGAGAACTTTCCGTCCGCCGGCGCTGTCTGCTCTGATTCGATCTAGACCTGGCGCGTATCTCCACAGTACAGGCTAAGGAACAAGTCACAATCCCCAAGACCAGCGGCGAAATCGTGGCTCAGGAACTGGCCCATCCATGGAACCTCGCTGGTCGTCTTCATTCGGGTTGGTCGGACCAGATCGCTGTGCCTGACCCCAGCAATGGCTACCAATGGGATCAACAGGACGGTCTCGTCTAGTCAGGCACCGACCACATGGAAACAACACGGCCAAACCCAATTTGGCGGTTCAATGGGGGTGGCCTATCAAACGGCCGCCACACCAAAAATCTGACACGCCCAATGCCCTCGTACGTACTCCACCCCTAAGAATAAAATGGCGCTATATCCTCCGTCTTCTCCTCTTTTTTTTCTTTCTCTCCTTTGACCATCACGATCTTTCGAATCACACTCCTTTGGATTCCTACCTCTTGGGGCTGAGCCTCATCACATCACTCTCTTTAACAGTCTGTAGATCAGATCAAAGTCCCTCTTTCACCAGATCTCACTGTCTATCAAACACCTTCCTTTGAATATCGAATTCATCCAGCCAATATGCGCTTCAACATTGCCGCCCTCTCGGCCCTTCTGGCACTGACTGCCTCCGCCCGCCCCATTGCCGTCGCCGACGACAACTACATCGAGGAGACCGTCTGGCAGACCGTCTACGAAACCGTCTACCAGACCGGCAGCCCCGTCAGCGTGGCTACCGCCGTCGCTGTCGAAGAGGTCGCCAGTGCCTCCTCCACTTCCGTCGTCGCCTACTCGACTTTGACTCCCGTTATCTCCACCGTGACCAGCGTCCCTATCTCCGTGCCCACTAGCACCAGCATTCCCGCCAGCTCCACCGCCTCGGCCAGCACCCCCACCGCCACCGGCAGCGGCGTCACCATCGTCAACAACCTCGAGGACACCGTCTACCTCTGGGTCGTCACCGAGGACCCCGGTGAGATGCAGACCGTCGCCCCCGGCGAGTCCTTCAGCGACACCTGGCTCACCAACTCCAACGGCGGCGGTATCTCCATCAAGATGTCCACCACCGAGGTCTGCGACGACGTCCTGCAGTTCGAGTACACCCAGTCCGGTGACATCCTCTTCTGGGATTTGTCATCCATCAACCTGGTCAAGACCTCGACTTTCGTCACCGCTGGATTCGGAGTCACCATCAGTGATGAGTCCTGCCCCACCGCTACCTGCGCTGCGGGTGATGCCGACTGCATTGAATCCTACCAGCAACCTGATGATGTCAATACCCTGGCTTGCAGTCTCGATGCCGCTTACACTCTCACTCTGGGTTAGAGTGTGGCTCGGGTTCTGATTCTTGGTGTTTAAGTTGGATATACCTTTTGGTTATGGGGAGTTTTCATGCTGAACAAATTGCAAAGCACAAATTACAAAGCACAAATCATATTTCTTTCTAGATATGTCGTTGTTTATAGAAAAAAAATCTTTTAAATTAGAAAATTCTCAAACAAATCGGAATAGCCTATATTGTGGGCGCGTTCTAGACTAATTTTATTACATGTCTTCATACCTTTAATCCTTGCGAAAAGTTATTGGGCATAATGTGTACAATCGGTTTTTCATTCAAAGTCATTGACCCCTGACAGACCACCATTGAGGCAGTGCCCAACCCTTTGCTTAATGATCAAGACCACATTCATTATAAGATGAAGCAGATGATAGATAGAAATAATAGGTATTCACAGAATATAATTAGAGTAAAATGCCCAATTGGTCAAAACGACCTTCTAAGTTCTAGGGCTGAACTAGGGCTGATCATCTCAAACCCAAAATACCTCAAGCGAGAGAAACATCCTTGGCATACTCAAAGCTCCCTTGTACATACAACCTAGTACACAGGCAGCTTGAAAGCCGGGAAAGAATAAGTCCAGCTCTCAATAGAAGCCTCATCATCAACACACTTGAAAGTGCTATTACTCTTCCAAAGCGGACGGGTCGGCCACTGGCAAAGCATCTGCGTCTCGCCCTCATAAGTACCAGACGAAACAGTGGCATTCAACCGCGAAGGCTTAACACCATTCTCCACCCAGTCAATCATAGTCTGCATATTATTCTCCGGGTACGGACCGGGCTGAAGAGTATTCGTACCGCAGTGCGCCGCACCAGGGATAAGGTAGAACTGGTACCAATCGGCGAGTTTCTCCAGACTCTCCTGCGCCGACAGATTCGGGTACATGATCGCGCGCACCGACTGCCAGTAATGCACAGACGACGCAGCAGGAATACTAGGGTCCGATTCGCCGTGGTAGTGCAGCAGTTTTCCGCCGGAGGCTTGGAACGGCGTGAGGTCCGGCAGGGTGGTCTGCAGACTGTCCATGTAGCGGACCATGCCGATGTTCATCCACTCGACGAGGGTGTCGTAGGTGACGTTGTCGAGGTTAGAGAGGTTGGAGAGGTCGAGGAGTTGGATGAACTTGGTCACGTATTCGCCGCCTGTTGAGGGGATGTCGATCTCCCACGAGCTGGATGCGTTGTTCCACTGTGTGGATGCGTCGCTGAGCTCGGAGCCGATTTGCCAGGATAGGTAGGCGCGCTCGTCTTGGGAGTTGTGCAGGCCGTCGTAGATTGTTTGTGCGACTTTCACGCCTTCGGCGGTGACTTTGCCGCTTTGTTCCGGCGTGGTGGAGGTGCTGGTGCCGTCGGCACGCTTGCTGAAGCCGAAGCCTAGGGATGTGCTGGTTTCGGCGGCGCAGTAGTATTCCTCGCCGATGATGGAGGTCAGGTTGAATTTGAGCTTGCAGAGGTCTGTGCGGGAGATGACGCCGTCGGTGCGGCCGTCGAGGGGATCGCAGGCCGTGATCGTGGCGTTGACTATCTTCGCCAGCTCGCAGGGAGGGGGGTAGTAGTCGAGGGTTTGCTCGGCTGTAGCGGGGAAGACGTGGAGGACTTGCTGCTGGCCGAAACGGAAGGCCGGGGCTCCGGTGATGGCTCCATCGTACTCCTCTCCGAAGCGCTGGACTTGGCTCATGCCCTCGCGGCCGCCGTCTGAGCAGCCTTCGTAGTAGGTGTAGACCTTGGCGGAGGAAGACATGCCATAGAAACCCTGGGTCAGGACCTTTCCGATCTTGGTCATTTCGCCTAAGGCTTGGTATCCGAACATGTAGGTTGCGTCCCAGTTGATGCTTCCGTTGCCGTAGAGGACGACGTCGTCGTAGGCGTAGGTGAAGGCATCATAGCCTGCGCTGGTGGCACCGCTAACAGCACCGTACTCGAGACCACCGGTTGCATCGCTGGACAGGGAGAAGCCACCGCCGCCGGCGACGTAGAAGCGCTTCTTGAAGTCGGAGGGCTTGGGGAAGGCATACTTGATGACAACGGAGTCTCCCTTGCCGGTGTGCTCGTAGGTAACGGTCACATTGCAGTAGGTGTAGGTCTCGGTGCTTCCCATGCCAGCGGTGGCATTGTAGACAGCACTGGCCGTTACGGCGGAGGGGATCATGCTGATACCTACAAGAGTCCCGTTGGAGGGCAGGGCAGACCGCACATTCGAGACGGTACAGACATCAGCAAGGGAAGTAGCGCTTGCTGATGCTGCCAGGGCTGCAGCAGCGCCCAAGGAGACACGCATGTCGAATTATATCAAATGGATAGATATACAAGGGAAAAATGGTGTCAAGAAAATATAATAGAAAGACCAGAGGCTATACTTATAAGATCTTCAGGTACTCTACATAACGGCTCCAGTTTCTAGTAACTAAAGCGCAGATCATGCTTTAGGCCGTTGCGTCGCCTGCAATCAAACCATGAAACCTGACCGGGAATCGAGGATAGGCGTGGATACTCAGTCGTCATCATCTAACACCGGCCAAGGCGCAGCTCAGACTAGGTTCGAGATAGAGCATGAAGGGAAACGGGTCATTCCCCATAGCCTAGTATGTGTAGTTTAATTCAGCCATCCGAATTAAGGGTTATGGAGTACCTCATGTCTTCAGAAGGACCAGTAATGGACGAGGAGGACATTGACTTTTTTTGAGTTTGATGCCGTCGGCTAAGGTTTATTCCCTTATACTCAAGATCTAAGCTTAAAACTTGTCCATGGCCCGGCGACCGCGTCATTCCCAGGTACGTACGCGTGGCCATATAGAATTCCACGGATCTGATCCAGGGCGAAGTTCAGTCTTCTGCGGTTAAACTTCGGTTCTGGCAAGTCTAATCGAGATCCAAGGTAACTACGAGGAGCTATAACTGAACAATATACAATATAGCTGATCATGAATATTCGATCGAGAAAGGCTAGACTCAGAAATCATTCCTTCTAAAATTATTCACTTCAATCATTTTCACTAGTCGCTTGGCGTGAGACATGTTCGGAAACATTGACATCCGGTTCGTTCTATTTAGCCCACATTCATAGCCACTAGTATCTAAGTTAAGGGGGTAGCAAAGGAGACTCAGGGGTTCCCAAACAAATCTCCCAAAGAAGCTAAAGTGAACCCCACACGCCATCTGCGAAGGAGGATTGAAGCCCGGAATGGGCGGAAATTCACCAATAACCCGGTCCTCCTCCGCGCGCCATCTGGGGTGAATCAACAACAGTGCTGTCACTAATAATCTCCAGAATGGCGTCGAACTTATGATCCAGAGATATTCTATCTATAACATATACTTTCCCAATTCCAAGGGCCCGGAGTTGGGACATGCGGTTCTTCGTTCTGGTTGTCGTGGTAACATGGACACATGGACACATGGTAGAGCGTTGTCCAAAGATCACATGTTACACAAGGTGCTCGGGCGGCTCAGACAAACAAAACAAACAACAGAGGATCGCAGCGCATTCTCACCGCCTTGGCGATAGAGGCGGTTGAGCGTGGCGGAGGTATCGACAAATAGACACATCATCTGCGTCCAGGGCAAGACCATGTGGCTGGTGATTTGATGGCGAAGTTACGCTGCCACCAATTCACCACCGACTTCAGTCAATGTGTGCTTCTGGTGCCGTTGTGTCGCATACCTGAGCCACCTCGTGTCGCCTACAAAGCGCTCTCCGCGATGTCAAGTTAAAGACCCTACTACCGAGAGTAATTTGTCTGAACCGTTCATTTATCACCTGCTGACCCCCTATGATGTTATCTATTCAACCTTGGAATGAATTGAAGCCCTGGAGATCTTTCGATCTTGTTCAGTGGAGATACTACCACCGTCTTTTCCACCGCATTCTCATCTCTCGATCCGGAGACATAAAGCCAGCAAATTTGGAATCATCCCGAGCCGGCCTGTCCGAGGATTTCCCAGTAGAGTCCAGCCATTCATCAAACTCAATGTCAAATTTCGTCACCAAAACTGCAATGGCCAGCATAATCTCCTGCTTGGCAAATTGAGCCTGGCGAGTGGTCTCCCCAGTTGAGTCATCTCGCGAATCTACATATTGTACATGTCGCCAGGCCCAAAATTCGGAGGCGGGATGCTCCGAGGTGGCCTAGACAGCGTCCTCGTAGTGTGCAATCTGTGAGCAGGTCTGTAACAAGGCCCCTTTCTCGATCATGTATCCGTCTACCTGGATGGGCTGCATCACCTTGCGCGTCACGTTGAAAGATACATGCAGACGCATAATTTCAATGTAGAGAGACTGCAGCAGAGGAAGATTGATGAGCTTTTGTGCGTCTATCCGCTTGGCTCCGGTGTCAGTATCCGTGATATAGGCTTCCATGGCTTCTGTACGCACAGCCTCGAAGAGAGTTCGGTCCTTGATCAGCTCGATCATCGCCCATGTAGTAACGGGGACTGTGTTCCCGTTGAGCCTGATAAACGTTAACGCAGTTTTTTTTTTCAAATATCAAGTATATCACGAGGAGCTCACCCAAACAAAGAAGCCAGCGTATGTCCAGCGGCCGCCTGGTTCGAGAAACCCCCTTCAGACAGCCACTTTGCTGTCTCCCGGGACAAACGAGATCCAAAATGGGGTTCCCACTTGGACTCAGCATCGGGCCCATTCCAGTCAAAGTGTTCCCATGCGGAATCGATGTGCTTCCTGGTCATAGTATGTAGACGATCTTTTATCGCTACCGACCGTCGCTGCAGGAACTTGGGAAGCCCCCAGACAAGAGTCCCGGCAATTTCATCAAACTCCCAGTAACAGTCAATGAAACCAGGGTTTAGATCGATGATCTCTGAGCCAAACAGCGAGATAATGGCACTTTCAGCCATCGAGGTCTTCAGCATCTCGAAAAGATTGACGGTGCTCCATTCCGTCGTCGATTGCTTATCCAGACGCTCCGAGAACAGAGAGTAGAATGAATCGGCGAGGGCATCCGCATACGTGCGGTTACTGAGGTACTCAGCGTACAGGTGATCGTGACCCCGCCAGAATCTCTTCTCAGCTGGGGTATTCTCAGTTCCTGGGGCTGGGGCCTTCAGTCGACCGGATTTGTCGTTTGCAAACTTGGCGATTTCTTCCTTGGACATTCCCCAGTGGCGCTCCATCAACATAAGCTGGAGGAAATTGCCATCCAGGATGTTCGGGGAACTAAATACTGTTTGCACATTCTTTGTGCCGGTGACAATGTATGCTGGTATCGGACCGACATGGAACTTCACAATGTTGCTTTTGGTCTTGTCCAGAGTTGTTCTGAATTTGGTTAGATAATTCTTCTGATTTTTGGAGGGAAGAGAAAAATGATATGGAACCTACGTTACTCGATTCAAAAACGTTCTCACGTCTGTCAAATATTGAATGGTGTTGGTGACGTATGGTATTCTCTCTTTAAGATATGGCGGCTGCTTTCTCCGGGGAGATAGCTTCAGCCCCAATACCAGAAAGACCAAGACCAGAGCAACAAGGATAGTCGGCCGCTCTGCCGCATTCGCAACAAGCACATGTAGAGAGTCCATAATGGACAAGGTAAAGAAAGCACTTTCAAGATTGAGGGAATGCCGAAAAAAGTCCAAAGAATCAATTCTCATTTACCATGAAGACCGTCGATGCTAACATCGTATCTGCATAGTGCGCTACCATTATCACACTCGCGGACTTTGCCTGGGAAAACTCCTTTACAGATGCATTGGCAATACAAGGATATTGTATTGCCGTGATTACTTCTACTGCTTAGGTACTATTATCGTCATTGCAACGCTAGAATGTATCCACCCGCCGCACTTCCCTGATAAAACCGGTTCGCGAAATTGAAACATAGATTGCAAGGATTGCATCTCACTGATCTCAGTTCCAAGGTCTCAGCCACGTTGGCCTAGATTAGCCTTGGATTGCCTCGTGGGGCCAACATTCGAATAAGCAAGATCTACTGGATGCCTCAGGGGCCGCATCCGTTACAGATCTACCCGTTGACCTATCACACTTGCCCATGGGTGTATTGTAAACTGGTTATGTGTAATATACAGTCCTGGTATTAAAAGTAATACTCGTATCATGTATGTAATACCTGAAGCCTCGTTTCACTACGTAGCCACGATCGATTTGACATCCGAGGCTCCGTTGAGCTGCCACTCCGTCAAGGCATCCAGGACGGCGGGAGCTTGATCGGTGGAATAATACCTCATTTCCGCCCAGACTTCATAGACCGGAACAGTGTTTAGATCGTAACGAGAAACGATGCCAAAGTTGGGGCCGCCTCCCTTGAGAGCACGGAATAGATCGTTGTTCTGCTCCGCATTCGCGTCAACAATTGTTCCATTTGACAGAACAACCTCGAAATTATGCACATTGTCCGCCGCTAGGCCATAGCGAGTAGAGAGGTGATGATACCCTCCTGTAACTCCTGATTAGACGGCTTCTCTGGGTCCATGAATAAGACACCTTTACTTACCTCCGAGAATAAGACCACCGACTCCCACCGAGGGCAGTCTTCCCCCCAGCACCACGGCCGTCTCTGAGTTCAATGCCTCCGTGACCTCGCCCCAGCGAAGACCCGGACCGACACTCGCTACCTTTCCATCGCTGGACAGGCTGACGGAGCTTAGTTTAGACAAATCGATCAGAATACCTTAGCTCCCAATGCTAGACCGTCCTGGGTTCGGCGAGTGTCCGCCACTGCGCACTGCGAATTTCACCTGGAAGAAATCTATGACTTTCACCGCCGTAGAATCGTCCTGGGCTTCCTCGGGCTGAATGATGCAGTGCGGCTCTGCAAACGATTCGGACCTTCATTGATTGGTCAGCAAAAAGCCCGAACAAACAAAGGTCCGAGTAATAGCAACCTACCAGTTTACATCCACAATAGTTTGGTTGAGAGGCGATGTATCAACATTTGCAGCGCCAAGCACACCCTGCGCAGTCAAACATGCCACGTTCAAGATAGCAACCGAGTCGTCAGCCTTTGCATATCGCGCCGCCAAAGCACGTGTATTGGCTGCGGACAGCCCGAGATCCTGCGCAAAGGAAGTGAATTTGGGCACATTGCTCGTGGAGGCTGCTTGAGCTCCCGCTGCAAGCGCCCCGATCAGGAAACCCAGTAGCTGCATGATATCTGTAGGTACCTAATCAATTGTGATTGATCCCCTCTCGGAATGGCTGTCATGGTGAGATACGGCTTGGGAGACCAATCTGTTTTATACTTGGCGCCATCCAATCTTACGATCCGGATTGGACAGTAGCTCTGCCCATAGCTTGTCCCAAATCATGCATCCGACCAGGGACTAAATTACCCGAAGATAGAGTCACTTTATGGACCGCCCCGGGGGCCATCAGCACTAAGAGATCAGATAAATTAATTACAGTACGATACAGCAACTAAGCAAATTGAAATTGAATTAATTACGGCGGGTCCATACCGGATTTCTACTTTTCCTCCCCTTCTCCCCCCCCGGGGCCGGGTGCCTCCCGGGCTGCTATGGTTCGCGGGTGACCCACATATTTGAGCACGTTGTATGTTGTACATACGACCACGCGTATATCAATCAATATAGCCTGGCTTCATGCACACAGAAACTTACTAGTCTAATCTATACAAGTAAATGCTTTCCTTTTTTTGGCTTAGGGTAGATCAATCCTACAATCATTCGAGACTAGGCCCAGATTCTCAGCCTTGGAACTAACTCTCACTTTCTTTCATTCAACTCTCACAAATTACAGTAACTCTTCAACATCCCTCACAGATGCCTATTTCTCACCACAAATCTTTCTATCGATAAGGACATGCCTGAGGCAACCACGCCACCTGCACTTCTTGTTTCACCCTTGGACTTTTCCTCTCCAGCACCTCGTGTCCAAACTTTCCAAAGCTGATGATACCCCGCTTTTAATTCGAGAAAATGGGTACCAAATTCGATGTGACTCCGGAAAAGCAGGCCAGCCTGCCTCGCTTCTTCTACAACCAGATTACCGTGAAACCCGCCCCGGTCAAGGGAGTCAGCCTGGAGGGCAAGACCGCCGTGGTGACCGGATCCAACACCGGCGTCGGCCTGGAGACCAGTCGCCAGCTCCTCGACCTGGGACTCAGCAAGCTCATTCTCGCCGTACGCAGTGGCGAGAAAGGCCAGGCGGCTAAACAGAATTTAGCCGCTGGCCGGGATCTCTCCGACGATAGCATCGAGGTCTGGAAGCTCGACCAGTCCGACTATGACTCCGTCGTCGCCTTTGCGGAGCGCACCAAGAGCCTCCCCCGACTGGATATTGTCGTCCTGAACATCGGCATTGCCAACGCCACGCGCGTCTTCAACGCCAAGACAGGTCATGATGAGATGATCCAGGTCAACTACCTCTCCACCGCCCTGCTGGCAATCCTCCTGCTCCCTATCGTCAAGGAAAAACGCGCCGCCCAAGGAGGTCCGAGCCGCATTACGATCGTCTCATCCGAGGTCGCCGCATGGACTCCCTTCAAGGAGAAGAAAAGCTTCCCGCTGCTGGCAGCGCTCGACCAGAAGAAGACCAAGGTTGACCCCCTCGACCGCATGATGGTCTCTAAGCTTCTAGGGCAGTTCTTCCTGGCACATCTGGCCTCGGTTGTCCCACCTTCCGTTGCCATCATCAATGCCACCTCGCCGGGCTCTGTCTACGATTCTGACTTCAACCGTGAGCACGACAAGACTTTCGCCGGAGCTATCGCCAAGGTCGTAATGCGCCGCATGGCCAACACTGCTGCTGTTGGAGCCCGAATGGTCACCGATGCAGCTGTCAACCATGGCGAGGAGACCCATGGCGAGTTCCTTTCCTTCCAGAAATTGGTGCCGTAAGTTATCTCTATGTTGTTGACCATGATCAAAATCTATCGCTAAAACACTTTACAGTTTGGCACCGATTATCTACAGCGAAGAGGGGAAGAAGATCTCAGAGGAGCTCTGGAAAGAGACCAGCGAAGAGCTCGCCTTTGCGAATGTGGATGAGATTCTCAAGGCTATTTCAGAATAGATTTCAGCTTGGAGGGTCGGGTATTTTGTTTTGCCTTTTGATTAAATTGTCGAGTCTAGTTCTGAGACGGTTTCACCTTGGATGATATGATCGGCTATTTTGCATTGAGACTGAAGTCTTGAGTCTAGTTCTATGACGGCTATCTCACAAACGAGTAAATGACATGTATCAATTGCCTTATCAATCGCTTTATCAATCCATCTTTTTCGAGCGATCGGCAAATCGCCGTTGAAAAAATGAAGATTCCATCTTCTGGCAAGCCAGAGGCCAATCCGAAGTCCACTTCCTGTAGAAAGGCTGATAACCCAGTAGTCCGCCCAGCCATCTTCCAACGACGAGGCCTATGGTGCGTGAGACGGTCTGTCCAAAAGGAATCCACCAGGGTAGAGAGATGTACGTGCCACCAGCGTCAAATATCTGTATTCATGAGAAATCGAAGCATTGAAAGGGATAAGAGTAGGAAGGAGGAGGGGGGACATACGCTGAAAAGCTGGATCAGGTCAATCTTAGCTCCGTTGACCACCACATCATCCTGATAGCGGTACCAATTCTCGAAGAAAACCGGGTTCAGCTCAAAGACACTGTCGGTCTTCTCGCCCGATAGTAGGAACTTGACCACTGTGTTGCCTTTTTCTTGTCGATCTAGGGAAAGAGGGTACGAGCGGTGGTCTTTGTACGGCTTGATGCTGTATGCCCCATCACCTGCCGTTAGCACTACTTCCTTGTCGTCGATCTCCACGCCCAGATGGCCTTGAGTACATTCGATGTATTCTTCTTGGACATGGAAGTGCATAGGCGGTTTGTGGCAGAAGAAGTCGGCCCCCTTTACCAGGTCGAGAGTCACTTCGATGGCAAAGGAGCGATCAGGATGGTGGACGAGGCGTCCAGTCACGGCGTTTTTCAGCCTATGAAAAGAACAGTCATATTAGTTGAGTCACAAACAAGATAGATAGCGTCGATACTCACACATGGACCCGGATGTCGGAGTCCGCATACACCATTTGGTCTGCGTCGGAGGGTGCCATTAGTACAATGTTTTGTCTCTATGTTTTCCTAAACTGGGTATAGAAGTGGTCCAAGTCAAGAGAAGACTACAGATGAACTTGAAGTTTAGATAATGGCATAAGAATTCTTCCATCAGCCCATATCGGATGTCAGCGCCATCAATCAATGCCGAGAACCGGCACGTTGTCAATCTAATCCATGAAATCTCACATCGCCGTGACTGTAACACAACGCGAAACCAGAATCGTAAAACCAACATTTCAACGGAGGTATCCGTATGTAAGAAACTAGCTGCCTGAATCTGTAGCTAAGAGCTAAGTGGGTACCAATCTAAATGCCCCGGTTGGTCCGACTGAAACAACCTAGTTAAGAGCAAACAAATTGTAAGCGAGATTCCCGTATCTTCCTGGTAAAATCGGGGTTTTTCCGATGGGGCGTCTGGCGGGTTCTCCGACGGTCCACAATAGTTCTGGGCAAAAGATCTTCCCGATACGAACTCGATTGACTCCCGAGTTCCCGTAGCTCGTATACGCCTCGTACAAGACCAATACCGTTCGGTACCGTCCGGAACTTCCTGTATTGGAATTTCATGTATTAATGCACATGTGTGGATCTCCACGACTGTATACTTCGTATTTGTGAACTTATAACACTTGAGTACTCTTAGCTGTCCACCAGTGGATCCAGTTTAGTAAATGGCCCCCGGGGGTTCGGAGACGAGGATCCTACTCGTTTGTCAGATACCGTGCACAGCCCAACAGAGACCCATATATAGCTTCATCCGGATAGATCTTACACTAGCAAGGCTATCGGAGATTACTTTTGCACAACCATGTGGGTACGGTTTGCCGCAAAGTGCGAGCTGGCCGTCGAGAACCCGAGAAATATACCGTGTCTTATCTCCCCCGGGCCCCTCCTGCTCTCAAGAGCTCAATAATAGTCTTCCCCCGAGTTTGTAGAGCTTCTCTTTACCTCTCTTTCACCGGGGTGCTATCTTTCACCATGGGAGTCCCAGAGAAGCTCAACGGCACAGCCAATGGCAAGTCTAAGGACTCGCTGTCAAAGCAATACGGTGGCGTTCATGCCGGAGGATGGGTGGACTATCTCCCTTCATCCTTCGTCCCGTACATCCAGCTCTGTCGTCTGAGTCCCCCGGCCGCCTTCTTCATCATCTTCTTCCCTCATTTCTTCGGCGTGATCCACGCTGCCAGTGTCCAGAATTCTTCCGTCGAAGAAGTCCTGCGTGTCTCCCTCATTCTGCTGGGTGGAAGCTTCTTCTGCAACAATGCCAGCCACGCCTGGAACGACCTCATTGATGCTCCCGTTGACAAGCTGGTCGCGCGCACTTGCACACGGCCCATCCCCCGTGGAGCTATCTCTTCCACCGCCGCTTTCATCTTCACCTGCATCCAGGCCGCCATCGCTGCTTCTTTCCTCCTGCTTCTTCCCAGCAGCATCGCCCTGGCTGCTGTGCCCAACATCTTCGGCACTACTTACTACCCCTTCGCCAAAAGACACACCCATTTCCCGCAGGTGGTGCTGGGATTCTGTCTAACGTGGGGTATCATGATTGGAAGCGCGGCCATGGGTGTGCCCGAGCCGTGGGCCGACAAATCTACCCTGTCCCTGTTCGTGGCCTCCTCCTTGTGGGTGATCATCTTTGACACGGTCTACGCCCACCAGGATCTGGAGGACGACCTGAGAGTCGGCGTGAAGAGCACCGCGGTTCTCCTGCGGAGCTACGCGCGTCTGTTCCTGGTCGTCTTGTTCCTCGGCATGAGTGCATGTCTCTTTGCCTGCGGGTACTACGCCAACATGAGCATGGCCTTCTTTTCCGTCACTGTGGGCGGCTGTTTCCTGTCCGTCGGCGCGATGGTCTTCTTCGTTGATCTCAAGGACCCCGCGAGCTGCTGGTCGTGGTTCTCGCAGGGCTTCTGGATGGCCGGCGTTGCCATCTCGGGTGGGTTGCTGGCTGAGTATGTCTATGCCGTGAACGGAAGTCTCTGGTAGTTGAGCACGTTTTTCACGCGCTTCTAGGAAATTTCAAGGGTGAGCCCTTCAAAAGTGAAATTAGAGCTTCACTGGCAGATACAAACGCTGGTGTATAGATATAACCTTCGTGATCGATATGAGACATGATGATGTATCATCGGCGAGTCCATGTCAGCCTTGCATTGATTCAGGGTCAATATAGCAAGCTGGAACCTTGATGTGACGGCCGATAGATGCGATGAAATCTTTCCCATGTTCTGTTTTTGTGACTTTAAATGTTTGCTTCAAATCGTTGTACTTAGTTTGCGTTGTTGTTGAATTGATCATACCAAACCCAATCTCTCCTTGACAATTTTCTATCTTGAATTCGAATAGCGTCTTTCTTGTTGTGCACATGTGCGCTCTAAAGATAGTCGTGCTTCTGCCGCAGGAGATGGCGTCTATCTACGAAGTCTATCTCTACTAACCCACAGAGGCGGCGGGTGGATAGCTTGTGGATTAAGGTATAAAAAGCATAATAAAAAGAAAACAGAAATGAAGTTACAAGGCCCCGACTTATAGAGCTTCTTCCTTCAATTTAGTGAACTTTCACTTCTCTCTTTCAAAGAATACTCAGATGAGGATGGGCTTCGAGGCCTAAACGCATTTCATCTAGTCTTTGAACACCCAGGTAGTCAATCACCTCCATTCTTTGGAAGAGAAAATTGACCTAACCATCGAAACCTTAGACCAACCAGAACCTCGCCCGGAACCACTGTGGACGGTGCCATTCCAGCATGATCCCGACTTTGTCAGCCGCAATGAACTCCTCGCTCAAATCCACAAAAGATCCTCGATCCCGGGATCTAGAATAGTTATCTTTGGCATAGGAGGAGTTGGGTGAGGTCATAGTCCTGAGCGGTCTGTTCAAGTCTAACTTTGCGACAGTAAATCTCGACTCGTCATCGAATACTGCCACCAAATCCGACAGGAATCGCCTGACACCTGGGTTTTCTGGGTTCACGCGAGTAATGCTGCGCGCTGCGAGGAAAGTCTGCGCAACCTTGCCGACCGTGCTAAGATTCCCGGGCGTCAGGATCGCAACTCTAATATTTTCCAACTCTTCGGGAACTGGTTGCAAGATGGGAAGATCGGAAAATGGATTCTGGTCCTGGATAATGTCGATGATCATGAGCTCCTTCGCAAACCATTGACTACTCGGACAGAGGCCCAAGCAGAACCCCCGAGGTATGCCCCAACGCAGCCACCGCTAAGGTACCTTTTCGCAAGCTCGAATGGTTCCATCATCATCACAAGCCGGAATAGAGGGGTAGCTCTAGAGCTCGCCGGCCATGAGAAACATCTGATCGATATACAACCTATGAATGCAGCCGAGGCGCTGGTTCTAATGCGGAAGAAGCTAGATGATTGTGCAGAGACCGAGGAATTGGTTCAGCTAGTCAACGAACTCGAGTTCATGCCACTCGCGATTGTGCAAGCCGCTAGCTACATCACCCACCGTGCACCCCGATGCTCGGCATTGCAATACCTAGAAAAGCTTCGTCGGGGTGATCGGCAAGCCGCAAGACTTCTTAATCACGAGAGAAAACACATCGATCGAGACTGGGAGGCAAAAAACTCTATCCTACTGACTTGGCAAATTTCGTTCGACCATATTCGACGGATCAGGCAGTCTGCCGCTGATTTGCTGTCTCTGATGAGCTTTTTCGACCGGCAGGGAATCCCAGAGGGTCTTCTACGGGTGCAAGACAAAAACCATGAACCTTTAAGTTCTCCGCAAGACGTTGGGAACAGATCAAGTGATGAGGATACGGATCACTCGTCTGAACCCGACGTAGATGACGATTTTGAGAGCGATATTGCGATTCTCAGAGACTATTCCTTTATCACTTCAGATAAAAATAGCATGGTGTTCACAATGCATCGGCTTGTGCAGCTAGCAGTACGCATATGGTTGAAAACCTATGGTCAAGAGGAGGAGTGGAAGGAACGTTTCATCAGGAATCTATGTGGTGAATTCCCGACCGGTTAATATGAAAATTGGGAGAGATGCCGGTCACTGTTTCCACATGTTAGGTCAGCTGTGGCACATCGACCGAAATCGCAAGACTCACTCCGGAACTGGGCTACGCTACTCTATAAAGGGGCGTGGTATGCGATATAATGTGGCAGTATTTCGGTTGCAGAGGATATGGCAGCTATGTCAAGGAAGCAAAGAATGAAGATTAGCGGCGCCGAAGATGAAGACACCCTTTGTAGCACTGCGATATTAGGAATAGCCTACCGACTAGAGGGGCGGTGGGAAGAGGCGGAGCAGCTCGAGCTGCAGGTCATGGAAGCGAGCAAGACGAAAGTCGGCGCGGACCATCCCGATACGCTGGCGAGTATGAATAACCTGGCGTCGACATTACAGAACCAGGGCCGATGGGAGGAAGCGGAGCAGCTCCAGCTACAGGTTACAGAGATAAGCAAGACGAAAGTCGGCGCGGACCATCCCAATACGCTGGCGAGTATAAATAACCTGGCGTCGACATATAGGAGCCAGGGCCGATGGGAGGAGGCAGAGCAGCTCCAGCTACAGGTTACGGAGATAAGCAAGACGAAACTCGGCGCAGACCATCCCAATACGCTGACGGGTATGGCCAACCTGGCGTCAACATATAGGAGCCAGGGCCGATGGGAGGAGGCAGAGCAGCTCCAGCTACAGGTTATGGAGATAAGCAAGATAAAACTCGGCGCGGACCATCCCGATACGCTGGCGAGTATGAACAACCTGGCGTCGACATTACAGACCCAGGGCCGATGGGAGGAAGCGGAGCAGCTCCAGCTACAGGTTATGGAGATAAGCAAGACGAAAATCGGCGCGGACCATCCCAACACGCTGACGGGCATGGCTAACCTAGCTTTCACGTGGAATTCTACAGGCCAGCATGCTAAAGCAATTGATTTGCTTCGAACCTGCGTGCTCAAGCAACAACGAGTTTTAGGCCCATCTCATCCTCGTACTATATTGCACGACAATACGCTGCTGGAATGGGAAACTGCGCATCTTGCTATGAAGGCATGAACCGTTTATCCTTCCTCTGCTTTTCTCGAATTGGGTTCCTCTCACTATATTGTATTTCATTGTCTGATTTTGTCTACAATTCACTGCGATTCTCCCTAGCAACCCTGCGTTTGACAATCCATTGTTTCTTACAAGTGCAAAGTAGTTTTGAAACAATAGTACTGCGTAATTTTGACGTAACAGCCCCTGTATCGATACTATCCGTGTTTGGCCTAGCGCGTTTTGGGTTAGGGTTGCGCAAAGCATAAGAAGCCAATTTCGAAGCTGTAACAGTTCGTTAAGAAACAGTATTACTACCGCAAACGAGAAGCCACGGACTAGCTGATATCCCCATATTCTGAATGAAACAGGCCCACGCCATGGTATATAATCCCCGGATGCCTTTAGCATCTGCGGTTGACCCGGGTGTATTCAGCGTAGCTACCGTCAATAGTGAGACGATGAGACTTGCGACAATAGTGCCTTCTTTCAATTCTCCTTTTGGACAGCTGAATACTGTGCCAGGTGCATCCGATATTCCAAGGTAGAATCAGTGTGACGTTATACCTGTAGTTTTTTGCCTTGTCTGTCCGGCTTGATATCGAGAGCCATGTTCTATTAACCCTCATCTTCGTCCAAGTCTCGTGCTTCTTGCTTCTGTGGCTATCGGTCAATCATACCCATACCACCCTCCTAACATCAAACTTCCCCTCTTCAGTTTTCCAAGGAAGCACATAACCCCGCTGGTTACTCACAACCCTAATCCCTAAACTGGGTTGTATAATGCGTATACCCAAACACCCAAACCTTAACCCCATCCCAAGACAACTCCAGCAAATCCGTTCCAAAAGCACAACTCCACGAATTCCCAGCCTGCTGCGGACTCGAAGTACGCTGCAGGGATGGTGCATGATGCGTGACCACCAACACAGACCGCTTTTCTTGTGTACGCTCCCGAAAAGCTCGGATCTCACCCCGTAACCAGGCCAAGTCGGAGGCGTGAGCTTCGTTGTGTTGCTCGACGGACCAGTCTTTTATCTTTTGGAAATCGGAGATTCTGTAATTGACTATATCGTTTGATTCCTACGGGATGTGGGACCAGAGTGTGCGGCCTAGGATTGTCACGTCGGAGTCCCGGATGTCGTAGCGACGTTGGTGGAGTAATACAAGGCGGCCATTTATGCAGGGTTCGTTTTCGAGCTGTTTTGCTTTTTTGAGGCTGTGTTGAAGGTTGTTTCGTAGAATTCGTGGTTTCCAAGGGATAAGAATACGATCTCGAATTTGGATGTTTGGGTTTTTAGGAAGGCACGGTAGTTGTTGTAATCTTCCAGACGGCCGATGTCGCCTGCTAGGATGAGGTATTTGGAGCAAACGGGCACTTCAAAGGAATATTGTTGGTTGATTTCCAAATGTAGGTCAGATAGGATCTGGAGTGAGCTAGAGGTTCTTTTGAAAAGGGACCGGATTGTCTGTAGTGTCATGTTGATATTTAGGATTCTCAAGTAGATACTGGCATTTTCATTTGTGACTATCGAGAGATCAAGAACAAAGCTTAGGCTGATCATGTGATATCCCAGACTATATCAGATTGTATTAGTCCCATTCCAACCATCTACACCATCTAACTACACCATATAAGCACCACCAGAGACCTGCCAGGTCTGCCCAGTCAACCACTGCGACTCAGGGCTAGCAATCAAAGACACAACCCCAGCAACATCCTCAACCTCCCCAGGCCGATTCATCGGAGACCACTTGCTCAAGACATCATCGATCTGCTGGGGACTCATCTTGTCGCCGCCGGGGATATACTTAGCCGACATCTCAGCATACATATCAGTCTTGACGCCGCCAGCCGCAATGCAGTTAACCGTGATGTTTCGCGGACCAAAGTCCATCGCCAGACACTTGGTCATACCCTGCACAGCGGCTTTAGAAGCAGCATAGACAGCATGACGAGGGACGCCCTAAATCAGATCAGAAGTCAGCTCCGTCTCCAACCCAACAAACCACCAAAACTACAACTCTAGCCCTCACCTTAACGGCAGAAATAGACGAAGTCAAAATAACCCGCCCGTAATCCCCCATGAAGCGATAAGCCTGCTGCGCAACGAAATACTGTCCCTTGACATTAACCGCAAAGACAGCGTCGATATCGCTGCCTTTGACCTCGGACAGACTCCCGAAATGCTCGATGCCCGAGTTACTGACTGCGATGTCCAGACGGCCGAATTCACGGTGCAGACTCTCGAACATGGCTTTCACCTCTTCTTCCTTGGAGACGTCGGCTTTGAAGGCGATGGCGCGCACGTTTAGGGCGCGGATCTGCTCGACGACGGACTTGGCGGCTGTGGCGTTGGAGACGTAGTTTACGGCTATGTCCGCTCCGCGTTGGGCGAGTTTTAGGGCTATAGCGGCGCCGATGCCGCGGCTGGAGCCTGTGACTGGTTTCTGTTAGTTTGTTAGATCTTGGAGTAGTAGTGGACCTTACTTATTGCGACTTTGCCGGCTAGGTCTTTGCTCGTGGACATGGTTGCGAGGTGAGGACTAAATGGTAGAGTGTCTCTGTATCAGCAGGGAGTGCTGTCGGTGATACCTTACCTTTTATGTGATCTGAAAGATCGGTGAGCATCTGCAGCATCTTGGGCCCCCGCGTATGGACCGAATTTGGAAAACAAATGACGTATGTGTTCAATTGTAAAGTCTCCAATAGATAATGTTACAACGTACATGGTTCAAATCGATTCGAATTGTTCCTAACTTGCAGGTACATACTCATCAAATACAAGGGGTGGTCTTGCACAAAACGGATCTTGTCGATGCAGTCAAGACAACACACCCAGGGAAATCAATCGCTTGGAACAATACAGCGCCATCCTCCGGAAGTCCATCCCCAATGTGAAAAACAAAAAACTCACGAGAAAAACGCCTTTCCTAGATGGCACAGAAGTGGGGGAGAAAAAGTATTTTCGGATTACACATGACAAGAAGAAGCACGAGCAACTTGAAGAGAAGTCGCAGGCGCTATATGAAGCGTGGGGTGGCTGCAGTAGGTTATCAGCCCAGTGTTGAACAATCACTCGCCAAGGCCGTATCCATTGCCGTGTGAAGTGCCTGGGCTATCCCGGTTGGGATTGTTAAAGGTGAGCTTCAGCTTCGGCTGGCCGGGAGTGCCAGCATTAAGCGGAGTGTCGGCGCCCGAAAACCCTTCACCGTTGTACTGATCTTCAAAGTTGGCGAGCTCAGGGTGGTCTTCCGTCAGTCGTCGCAATTCCACCAAGCACTTAGTCTGTTGTATCATTAGTATAATAATTGATAATCGACAAGAATCAAACTTACCTCAATATCATTAGCATCCTGGAATAGCACACTGCCATCCTCGTTGTAAGTGCGAGCATTCTGGCAAAGCAAATGGATGTCGTTGCGGAATTCCCTCAAGCTCTGATAATCGGCCCGCTTGACCTTCTTCTGAATTGTATCCACGGCAATTGGATTTTGAATGATCATGTAGTAGTCGGGATAATAAGAACGCGGCGGGGGCTTCATGAATGGATCGATGATTGACCGGACTATGGGACCCTCTTCACTATCAGAACCCTCCGGTGGCACCTCAGCCTCCATGTCCATCAACGACTGGATCACGGTGTCAAGAATGCGAGTCAAGTTGGCACGGTCGGTGGGGTTGAGAGTATCCGGAACCTTAGGCTGGCGGCCTCTCTTGCGCTTAGGTTGTGGCGTTTCTTCCACAACTTCCTCGGCCTTGCGCTTGGGAGGAGGACCGCGACGGCGCTTCTGCTTTTGAGGGGTCTCGTCATCATCAATAATCGATGGCTCAGGTGAAGAGTCATCTCCATCACGTCCAGTCTTGTTAGATCTGCGACGCTCAACACGAGCTTCCTTCCGTGCGATCGCTTCTTCAATAGTATCATCATCGGCGTCCACTGCCATCAACCACTGCTCTTCGGTGAGACCATCGTCGTACTTGGTCACCTTACGCTCACGAGCACCACGGCCAGTGACCTCAACCTCGACCTCTTCAGTGACAGGGTTATCCTCCTGCATGTAAATTTCGGGCAATTCTTGTTCGGACATCAGTCGAGGGTAGCGGTGGCCAGGACCATATTGGTCGTTGGCGATTCGCTGCCTGTCCATCTCCTGGAAGATAGGAATTTCTTCCTCGGATCGTGCCATAATTTCATTCAGTTCGTCATCATCCATTTCATCGTGATCACCGATTTGTTCCGCAGCTTCTGCCGTGTCCAGCAGAGTTCGAAGAAGTGCATCTCGCTCTTCATTAGTGGACTTATTATCGAACTTTCCGGCCTGGATAACCTTGCCATCCATGTCCAGCTTGAACTGGGCACGCTCGAGAATCTTCTCTTCGACCGAGTTGGAACTGATAAGTCGCAAAATGCGGACCTCGTTCTTCTGACCAATACGATGGGCACGATCCTGGGCTTGCAAATCCTGGTGAGGATTCCAATCCGAATCGTAGATGATAACGGTGTCTGCAGTCTGCAGGTTGAGACCAAGACCACCTGCACGAGTGGAAAGCAAAAAGCAGAAATAATCAGATCCAGGAGCGTTGAACTGCTTCAGGAGATCCGATCGATCGTCAGACTTGGTGGATCCATCCAGACGGAGGTATTTCATCCCACGAAGGCGGAGGAAATCCTCCATTATGTTCATGATCTGAGTCATCTGGAAGAACATCAAGACTCTGTGGCCAGTGGCACGGAACTTGGGCAGAACACGATCGAGCAGCTCAAACTTTCCTGCCGTACGCCAAAGAAGGTCATTAGACATGCGAGTGGGGTTCATCTGGTCTTCAACAGGCTCAAAGACGAAAGGATGGTTGCAGAGCTTTCGCAACTGCATAAGCATGTTGCTGAGACCACGCATTCCAGTCTTTCCGCCCTTGCCATCAGTGACAGCCATCTTGTTGTGCGTAACAAGTTGCTTGTACAACTTGGCTTGCAAGGCAGAGAATCGGCACTTGATGACGCGTTCCTGCTTGTCAGGCAAATCTTTCTCGACATCCTTCTTCAAACGTCTGAGAAGGAATGGCCGAAGAACCTTATGGAGACGACGAATAACGAGAAGCTGTTCTTCTTCGCTTAGATCCATACGGTCCTGGCCACCAGTATTTGCGAAAGGTGTGTTGAACCATTCGTCAAACGACTTGACAGACTTGAAAATGTTGGGAAGGACGAAGTTGAGAAGAGCCCATAGTTCGGGCAAGTTGTTTTGCAGGGGAGTACCAGTCAGAATGATACGGTATCGACTGGTGTAGTAGGTTGAGAGAGTGCTGCTGAGCTTGGACTGTGTGTTCTTCATGCGGTGACCTTCATCGACAATCATGTGTGTCCACTTGATCTTGCTGAGAACCGGACGATCCTTGATGATGTACTCATAGGTGGTGAGAAGAACCTGGAAGTTACCCCAGCGAATCTGTTGCTGTTGCTGCTTTCTCGCATTAGGCGGGCCCTTGTAGACAACCTTGCTCACACTGGGTGCCCACTTATCGAACTCGTTGTTCCAATTAGTGAGCGTGGACAGTGGAACAATGACCAGGAAAGGTCCATTGTTCTTCTTCTTTTCAATGATGTGGGTAATCAAACTGATCGTCTGGATCGTCTTTCCAAGACCCATCTCGTCAGCCAAAATACCGTTCAGGTTATTGTTGTACAGTGAAATCATCCATTGCAGGCCCTTAATCTGATACTCCTTAAGAGTACCTCCCACGAGCATGTCAGGCTGCGAAGTAACTTCTTCATTGATGCGGTGAGCAACAGCGTAGTAGTCGACCTTCTTCTTTCCAGTGGCGGTGTGATTGTCATCCTCGTTTTCGCTATCCGCGATCTCTTGATCAGACTCGTCATCGTAATCATGCGCTTCGCCATAACGATTCGCCAAATTGCGCTGTTGTTCCTTGACGGATGCAGCAAGCTGCTTGAGGAAATTATCGGTCTGCTTGAGAAGATGAGAGATACGTGAATCCTTAGCCTGTCCCAAAAGCTTCAAGTATGTCTCCTCATCGTTGGCCTTCAAAGCCTGCAGACGCTGCTTAGCAGTTCGCTCCACGCGCCTCTGCTCTTCACGTTCCATGTGCTGGTGGTGCGAGATCATCATACGACCCAGCTTCTGCGAGCGCGTACGTTGCTGGAGAGAAGCATTG